ATGAGAATTAATGAGTCCACACGAGGCGTCATTGTCTCGAAGTATAATCGTGTATCAAACGCAGTAAAGAGATCGCGAGTAACTTCTTTGTTTGTAAACTCATTATTTGTTTTAACTAGTTTTAAGCCACATGTCTCCTTTTTGAACAGCTTCTGTGAGTCTCATTTAGAACAAAGCTGGCGTATGCTTAGAGTTGTAATAGGCGGGATTCATTTTCGATATTTGGTGCCTTTATGAGCCGCTCAACTTCTGGTGTATCCGCAATAAAGGAAACATTGATCGACATGTTATTATCGGCCCTGATCGATTTAGTGAAATCTCAAAACCTGAATGATGTGAAACAGTCCTAACTGTAACCGGTTTTGAAACTGATATTCTGGAAAGGATCAGTGATTTGTAATTTGCAGTTTCAAAGTCTTAATATTCGAATGCACAACAGTAATGATGCTTGCTCAAACAGCTCAGACATTGAGCTTAACCTTTTGTGTAAACATGCTTAATTAATCTTCCCTTTTTTTATAATATTTATGGAATCTTTCCACCACTCCTTCTGCTCCCAGCGAAGAAAAACGTCCATGCTGCACTGATGGATGATTCAAAATTTAAGAAATTAAGTCTCGATTTAGAATCATTGCATAGCCCCGCCTCTTGTGTTTAATATTTTGGCATCACGCGTGTTACCAGGGAATCTCCAATTAGGCCACGTGGCCTAAACAGACAATATTCAAACACATTCACGTTGTAAGTAAACTCTGTCATTAGCTGAATTTGTTCGCGCTAGGAGAGAGAATACCAGTTTGGCATTGCAATTACGTCTGTTTACACGATCTAATTTTTTCCGTTCCAATTGACTTTTGATGTATGGAATGTCGTCTATTATTGATAAAGCAGTATTGCATTGGCTTTAGTTGATTTGCTGCTCATATACATTGCAAGTCAACAGACTATAAAACATCCATCAGAAGTGAATATCGTGTGAACAGACCTATATAGCCCTAAAATCCTTTCCTCGCTCCATCCAAACAAATTTGTCTAATGAGATGGGCACTACTTCAAGCATTAGGCCTTGTCTAACATGGTTGACATGCTAACATGGTTACTCTCTAAAATGGTTGAAAAATTTCGATACCATAATTTATCATTGTAACGTTAACGGTAAAGTTATGGTATTATAACTGCCTCGTTCCCAGTCTCTTTGTCTTTGATTTCTTCAGGAGAGAGAATACTTACAAAACAAGTTAATCGCGTGAAAAGTATTCCCATCATGCATCTGACACCTTATCTATTTCCACTGATCTAATAAAGTCTGAATGACAATCAAGCGACTGTGGGAACGGAAGTTATTATAACATTGTTTTTATTATTTTCCATTTTAGAGAAGTTTGTGGTTGGGTCGTTTCACCATTTTTATGTTCACATCAGCATTATGGATATAAATGGATCACGCGTGGAGAGGCTTGCAAAAAGAGCACCTGACAGAGGATTGGGATGGTTAATCAGGGTCACAAATGGTTTGTTGCGTTGCTATTTGGTGGGCGGTATGTTAGTCTATCGTCATTATTTGGCTTAAATGTTTGTAGCTTTTATGGTTTTCGTATTTGCCTCGCTTTCTTCCCAATGAAAGCAGGAATACGAATCCAAACGACTTGATTAGTGTATTTATACCACTTTTAGCATTGCCGTGAATTGCTTGTGCATTGGAAACATTCGATATTATTATTTTAGCTGCCAGAGTAATTCAAATGGTAGTAATTCCACTGCAAGACAAACGATTCGAGTTTATATATTAGCAATCTAACGGATATAAATATCTGATTAAAGAAGCCTAAATTATGCAGTGTTCCAAGTGGGAACACTGCGCTGATGGTAGTGCATAAAGCCGAGCCTGCCGAGGGTTTTATCGTCGAGGTTTGTGCCGCTTCCGTCAAACTGACGAATGAAGCATCTGGCGGGTGTGGTTGCCTTTTCAATGTTGAATGTTGCCTTTTCAAACTTGAAATACAATCACCCACGCCCTAAATCCTTGGGTTTTGCAAGCTCGCGATTTTGATTGTGACAAATATAGTTACAATTAGTCTATAAATTAGCGCACGAAATATCTTACATGACTGTCAATGACACGACAAGAACTCTACATTGTTCGTCTTGTTATTGAGCGGAACAGTTCAAAAATACTTCAAATCGCTTAACACGGAGTCAAAAACAAGCGTTGAAGTCGCAATGGGAGCTAAATAGTCACGTACAGAATTGTTATTTTACCAAAGATGTTTTGCTGTTTTTAATATGGACGAGAAATTTGATCCTTGCCTTATAAACAGTGTAAAATACGCTATCGTTTTTCCTGGAGAGGGATTAACTGAAACTACTGATGTGGCAACGAAATTATTCCCGGAACCGACTCTTGACAACCAGAGAAGCTCTATACGGATATAGCTATCATGCAAATATATTCCAAATATATCCCATACTGATTGTTTCCTCATATTTCAAATGAAATACGACTTATATCACAAAGATGAATCGGAAAATAATAAAAATAGCAATGCCCACGCAGCTCAGATTAGGTAGCTTGTTCCAGGAAGAGAAGAGTGGCAATGAACAATTCCTGGAACTAATTGGAAATGTATAAATTACCAGCGTTGGCAAAGGCAACGTGAGCATAACTCGTGCAATTTACAAACTTCATTTGTTCAGTTCTTTCCACTCAAGATGTCTTTCTCGCCCGCGCAGCAGAGCCGTATAATACTGGAGAAGAATTTGCTTGATAAGTATTTCCCTGGTCGAGTAAACTGGCATACTCCAGATGAAGATGACGCCTACGTAGAAATAAGAATGGTTAGCAATTCGGGTCGACAGTATACGCTCCGATCTTACATCTCCTCCGATTTTCCTAATTCTTGTCCTGAAATGGTCATGGTATCTCCAGGAAGTTTAAATCTAAAAAATGGTTCTCCATTGCCAAATGTCAGCCATGAATATCACACTATTGGATTGAAAGATGGTTACCTATTGCTCTGCCATTTTATCCCGTGCCAATGGACGAATGAGAATACTCTGTATCAAGTTTTTATGAAAGGTCGGTTATGGATCGAGGCTTATGAAGGTCATTTAGATACAGGAAAACGAATGGATGTGTTTTTGAAAGCCCAAGGTAGAGGAGGAAACTCAAACGGCAATTGTGTTTTGTCGTGAAATTTTGAATTAGATAATTTATGGTTTTTGACATCATATGGTTTTTTCAATAGATTAATTGTAGAAGATATACTTCAGATATCCTTCGGGACATATTTGATATAGAATTCTAACGATAGTAAAGCTTAAGTCACATCACGAAGTTATACTAACTTATGTAAGTTTCATTTGGTAAAACTGCTTTCAACATCTTTGAAAGCCACAATGAACTTGGTCTCTCTAAATGAATTAGATTATGATGTTGTGGGATTGTAGTAATGAAGAGTTGTTTCTGCGATGGTATATGTATATAGCTTTTGGCTGTAATGCTTTGGTTATGAATGGTTAATTTAATTGTTGTGAATTACTTTCACAATTTATCATACTGCTGATATGATATATCTTATTACTAGTTCATTGCTCGCTTCCATGCTTTGAGGTGTAACGAAAACCGCTTGTTAGTTAGCGATCTAAACACATTTTATATTATGAAAGAGTTCAAAAGAGTAACTATTGACTTGTGTTGAGGTTCAGATATTTCTACCTGTTGCGCAAGGAATTTATCGTGCGTTCTTTTGGTTTTGTTTTCTTCGGTTTTCCTGGAATAAATATGTCAACATACGAACAATGTTCTCAGTAAACATTGCAAAAAATCAACTTCACTTCTTCGTTTATTTATTTTTATTGAGAAAACCAATCTCATACAAAGTGGAATACTTGAGTTGTCCAGTGTGCTCAGTTCACTTTCCTGCTATATGTACATATTTTCATAAATTCGTTTTAATAAACAGTTCCTGCTTGTACTTCCGGCTTTTGTTACTGGAAGTAATTCCTAATATTTATTACAGAGAATTACAAAGAAATTCCTACGAAATTCTCGCGTACAATCGACTGATTTCTGGAACAGCCGATTGTCCACGCACACGTCTTGGTTTTTTGTTTCGATTGATTACGATTCGTAATTTATTAAGGCATTCCATGAAGCTTGCAAAATACCAGAGAGATAATACGAATGTAGATGCCAAGCGTCTACAAACTGAAAGCCGTGTACTTGCATTGTATATATTCGTGATTGTGTTGAAGCTTTCACAGAATCAAACCGAGAATCGAGGCACTAAACTTTTCTCAAATGTCGACTAGTTGGTCTGAAGTACAGCGAAACCGCTTGGCTATCGAGAGGGATATTTTGCAACGATGGTTCGCCGACAAGGTCAAATGGATCAGACCAACTGAGCCATCTGAAGCAAGGGTGGAACTTGATATAAAGAGCAGCTACGACAAGCCATACAAACTCCGCTTGTATTTACACGAAGATTTTCCCAATTCCTGTCCACATATGGCAATTGTAAATCCCGCAAATTTGCTCACTAGAAACAACTCAAAGATGCCATTACTGGACAAACGATTTCATACGCTCGGGCTTACAAAAGATGGCTTTACAAAACTGTGTCATTTCTCGCCTGACCTGTGGACAGCAGAAAATACACTCTACCAGGTTTTGATAAAAGGTATTATGTGGATCGAAGCGTATGAAGGCCATCTTGAGACGGGGAATTCGATGGACACGTACTTAGGAGAGCAATTGGAAGCAGTTGGTGGGCAAAATGAGAGGAGTGAAGCGCGGAATCCTACAATTGATAGGGAAAGTCATGAGCAACCGGAAGAGAAAAGCAGCTGCTGCATATCTTAAATTGAACAGAAAATGACCATTTATGAACTTTCAGGTCGCCTTTAGTACCTAATGAATCGGTGTACATACAGCCTTAGTTTAGAATCTGTGTTTTATATGTCTAATAGCTAGAGGATAAAGAAATCTTAGGAAATATAAAATGAGCCAGTTTGTCATGATTATTTTATTTTAATTTTACATTATGTATCAATTATACGTTATGGTTGCACTAACTGTATATCAGTCGAGTGCTTGGTACAAATGTGCAAGATAGATCATATATTCTGTAGTATATAGTGAAGCCGGCTATTGTTACATTTTTAACAACTGATTGTGGCATTTATGTTATGGAATTATTATCTGATTAATTTCGCCTTTATATATTTACTGATATCTCTACAGTCACCCAACTACTTGCTGCTGTATTTTCTTACTTCGTGATTTATTTTAAGCTTATTGTTTACTACATGTCTCACATCCACATAATCTCTTTATTTCATCTACAACAAAACTTGATTGATGAAACTCTTGTGAATGTGCTTTTGCTGAATTCGAAGAAGATATTTCAACAAAATACTCGCCACTTTCCCCCCATTTTAACTCAATTTCCCAATTCTCAGAATTATGACCAAATCTAAGCACCAGCTTATCTACAAATTCTTCAATCATTATGTGGTCGTCATCCTGCACGCCAAATTGACTTTTGACTTTGTGTTTAATACTTCTAACAATACTCAAGCTTTGGGTAATTTTACTTTCCAGATAACCCTTCGTTTGATTGCCGCCAGAAGAGCCAGTTTCTCTTTCGATATTCGACCGACGTCTGGGTTCTCTCTCTCTCTCACGTGCGGAATCCAAATTACTTAGTTTCTTCTCCGGTGTCTTGATTTCTTTCACAAGTTGTCCTTTCCTCTCGCCTGAATTCGATCTACTTTCGCTTTTGATTTCATGCCAGTTAATTTGAGCAGCCTCGGCCACAGGTGGTGCGTCTTTTCTGAATGGACTCTCGTTTTTCAGAATATTTACCTGCAGACTTCTCTCTAAATTGAAAACATGTTCTCCCCTTTGTAACACATAAAGATGTGATCCGTACGCGTGCAACAAACCTGACTTCTTCGTGTCGCTCACATCAACTATCACATGCTGTCGTCTAGTTGACAGAGACTCTTTAGTTTGCACGAGTGCTATATCATATAAATGTTCTGTGTACTCTTTTGCAACATATCCAACGCAGTTTAACTTGTGCTTTTCAGCGTATTCGAGTTCTTTCCCACATGAGACGACTAAGTAGACAACGACGTTAGAACTGTGTGTCCACAGGCCGTATAAATAACAACTTAAGCCCTTTATTCCTATTGGGGTATCCAGACGGCTTCTTAGCCGCCTGAGTTCACCTTCGAAGATATGAACGCATTGTGTTATCGGGATTCCTTGATTTCTTTCTGATGGCATTTCTTTCAGTATTTCTATGATTCAGTGCTATGTATGAAAATACAGTCGGGGCAAGGAAGTATCGCTTCCCAATGATGATATTCTGAGATGACTTTCCTTGCAGTGAGCAAATGACGTAACGATTGACCTAAAATGGATACATCAGAGGTATATAATTTGGATCGACATATATTCACAATGGGTATAAGCCAATGTTCAATTTGGTAGTTATAAAAGCGTTGTTATATTACGAGCAACAATCAATAAAAAAGCTGCCGCGAATCCTCACACGTCAACTATAATCAAGCATACTTTCACTATCAACCGTTCTATACTTGAGTTACTTACGTACTTTATATTTATTGATATATAAATGCTTTTGTTGGGTCCACTTCAGTGTTCACAGAGACCAAATAGATCCAAGTCTACTATTAACCTACGAAACAGCCAAGCGAGATTCTGAGTACTGTATTTACTGATAAGTTAAGTCGTGTGTACATGAATTGCCAACCGGAGTTGCCACTACCGCCGGATATTCGTAGTTCATATTTTATATACCTGTGCGATTTCCGCTCCTAACTTCCAGGAAAAACGCACGTTTCACTTTTGATTTGTGGAAGCATGGAGAGAGATTCTAAGTATAATAAAACCTGGATGTAGTGGATGAGTCGTGTGGAAACTGGATTGTGGCACGGATTGTGGATTCAGATTATTTATAATTCCTTTCATTTTCTTGGTACCTACATCAGCAGTTTACATGAAGAAAAGAGACGGAAGCATCAGAAAACAATGTCGTCATCTATTTGTCATTCATCTTAAGCGATGTTAAGACGAAACAAAGGACAGTTTGTCCTACCGTGTCTCCAAATCAACATTATATTTGTCGATGTATATAACCCGTCATTGTTGGCATTGACATCAATATTGTATGAATGTTTTTGTGGGAAACAAATCGTTAAATCGCGAATCACATCTTCTGTTTCTGACAACTAGTAAGTGCCATATACCCATGATCGTTTGCGAGACTAAAGTACACGATGCATGGTCAGATGACCGACTTGCCAACTGAAACATAACTTTTTTCTGGATATACCTCGCTTGCTCTTAAACGAGAGTCATGGGACAGAATCAGTCGTCAGCCATGTCTGCCTATGTCCCAGTAAAGTTCGATTGGAAAGAATACCAATATATAAAGACTCTTGGCGCTGGGGGTTTTGGCGAAGTGTACTTGGTCACCGACGTAAAAACACATGTAAAATTCGCCTTAAAGAAGATAAAATGTGGATCCAATGATGATCTCGAGAACGTCATGCAAGAGTTGAAATCTATGAGCAAACTAAAACACCATAACATCATGGCAATGTATGAAACACGTTGCAAGCAGAAGGATGATTTCTGGGCTGAAATTTACATGATCTTCGAGTATTGTTGTGGCGGAACTCTTAACGACCGACTGGACAAACCAAGTTCTAAAGCTCTCGATGTTAAATGGATGCAACAATTATCCGAAGCTGTGGCCTACATACACGCCTTAGAGCTTGTACATCGTGATTTGAAACCCGACAACGTCCTTATGGACGCGAACGATAACGTTAAAATCGGTGATTTTGGCCTATCGTGCGATTTCGTCGCGGCGAAACGAAAAGACCAGAGCTGGGAGAAATACTACATGACCACGCAGTGCGGAACGTTATTTTACATGGCACCAGAAGTTTTCAACGGCCATTACACGGAGAAAGCTGATGTTTTTGCATTAGGTGTTCTTATGTACATTATAGTTGAACGAAGTTGTGCGGAAATTAACGGAATGAAATTTTACGGCATTTTTATACGTGTGGACGAGTTCGATCGGGCACCATTAGGAATGCAAATGTATTCAGATAATGCAGGACTCAAAGTGCCGTTTTCAAAAAGTAGTCCTAAAATGGCTCAAATTGTTGGTTCTGCTCTGTTTTTCGATCAAAAGAAGCGTGCATCAGCGTCTACTATCAATGGAAAGTTGCAAGATTACGCGAAAGAATTGTGATTTGATGATTTTTATAATTCCAAGCATCAATTAATATGAATTTGCAGTTTCGTTTTCCGGATTCTGCGAAAACAGCTTCAAGGGAAATCCCCTTACAACTTATTAAAATGTGATTGAAGACTTAATCTCTGACGTAACTGTAAAAGATTTATTTTATAATCATTATAAATGCAAGATTATATATTTTAATATCTATACGAATATGTTGCAGATAAATGTGTAAATGCGAATTTTTTTTTAAATGCACGATTATGGACCTGGCGAACCTATATGTGGTTAGCGAGTAATATATATCTATGTATTGTAATAGAAGTATAACCAAAATATTTTTACTTGGAAAAAGATTGTGAAAGTAAAATTTTCCTGGAGATTGGAAATTGACATGATGCATGGTATTTATCTGTTTTTTAACATATATTCACGTCCTTAATTTGAGTTTGCTTTCTTAATGCAGTCAACAACCTTTTACTCTAAATCTTAGTGCAAGGAGCTGGTTATTGCTGGTGTATCACATTGCAGGTTGCATTCATGAGTTCTAGGAAAAGTCATGCTTAGATTTCCTGGAATGCGAAAGGCTGTTTCGCTCAGGAATACCCATCGAACATTGCATGTATACGGAAATCCGCACTTACAATGTCGTGTAGCCACCATATTTCAAGAATTGAGTACACTCGTACAGTGGAGCTCGGCAAAGGAGCTTTTGGAACTGTCCACAAAGCACACGAGAAAGAACGAGGGACACTTTATGCAGTGAAAGATATCAAATGCGTCAACAACGAAGACCTCAACAACGCTATAACCGAGATTAAAGCTCTGGGGAAGTTAACTCATGTGAATATTATCAAACTTTACAACGTTCAAGTCTCTCAGAGTGCTCCATTCGAAGCGACTTTAAGTCTTCTTCTCGAGTATTGTAGCAAGGGTAACCTAAACGAACAATTAAAAAACGAGAGCACCAGTACAGAGAATTTTCAATGGATGAGGCAAATACTGGCTGCTGTGGCGTTCCTGCACAAAAATAACATCGTTCATCGAGATTTGAAACCTCAGAATGTGCTGTTGACGTCCGGAGGTGTGGTGAAGCTTGCAGATTTTGGTTTGGTGGAATACTTTGGAAGGAAAAATGATGATCAAAGCTGGTACGACTATTATTTGAATCTCGGAGTGGGTCAGGGATGCTATGTTGCACCAGAAGTCTTAGAGGAACATTATACGTATAAAGCTGACATCTTTGCTCTTGGGGTCATTTTTTATGCGATCCTCGAACGAACTTTTATCGTGGTCGATGATGAAAGACTTTACGGAATCTTCGTTGGTAGCAATCGTCAGCCTCTTGGCATCTTAATGTTTAACAGCAAACGTGATGTTAATTTGCCGTTTACCAAAACAACTTCGCCAGCAATCACGGAGTTGCTGAATAGAACACTGAAATATGAGTACAAAGCGAGACCAGATGCCAATGAGATTGGAGTAATTTTGAGACAATGTTTGTCTAGACCATGGCCATGTATCATACTTTGACTTTTCTTTTTTTTTGCACGTTTGCAAACGTGAATCCAAGCAGACTTACTATTGGGTAGACATTTACGATGATTGAAGCCGTAGTTATCGAAGTGCGAAACTTATGTAAATTTGTCTCAAGCCGTGTTGTATAGTGTTGTATAGTGTTGTATATTTTGAAGGCTAGTAATCATAGAACATGCAACAGACAAACATGAATGTTTAAGAGTAGATCGTATGGTTTTCGTTTTAAAATCTTTAGACCTAATTTAGAATGGCTTGAGCTCTTCTTCTCACGAAAACTTCCACTTTCAAGTTTTTGATTTCCGAAGTTGATGATCTGAGGCTGAGCTGGTCAACATGACAGTATCATATATACTTTTCACGATACACAATACGTCTGCTCCTTTTGGTGAAATTTTGTTTCATTGCAGACAAGGTATAGTTCAAGTGGAATGATAAACTGAAACAAGTCTTCCTGAGCGGACAAGACGCTGATGAATAAATTTATTTGCTAAACGCAAGCGATGCTTACTGTGAAAACGAAAGTACGACAGATTACAAATTAATGAGAAATCAGTCAAAATGGATTCCGGGGTGGATTCGGTCGGGACCGTGTCTGAATACAGAAAACCAGCCATAGAATTCAGCTTGGGTGATAAAATTGGCAAAGGTGCTTTTGGAGAGGTTTTTAAGGCGACGGAATGCGGCGGTAAACGAATCTTTGCGGTGAAATATATAAAATGCACTCAAAATGATGACCTAGAGAATGCCGTACAGGAAATCACTGCTTTAAAAGCTTTAGACCACAAAAACATTGTGAAAATATACGATTTTGGCGCAAGACAACATTGGCAAATGGAAGTCGAGTTCTCGTTGGTTCTCGAATACTGCCCTGGCGGACCGCTTCGTGAAAAACTTGCTGAAGAGAATCCTACAAGCCGGAAGCTTGACTGGATACGAAGTATTACAGATGCTGTTGTTTTTTTACACAGCGAAGGAATCGTACATCAGGATTTGAAGCCAGATAACATCTTGTTAACAAATGATGGTGTTGTAAAAGTAGCTGACTTTGGTCTCGCACGACGTTTTGCCCAACCAATCAGAGGTATATATGCACGTGAGCTTCGATACATGCACGTTCAACTTGCATATTTACATATTATATATAATTGGTAAACATCATCACGAGATTCGAAGATTTATAACCTAGATTTATTAACCCAAGTCAGTTATTGTCATGGGCTATTTTATCTCTCAGACTAAATAATAAAATACGAGAAATAGATCGATTAATCCGCAATAATCTGTAATTTAAGGTCGGACGTAAGCCCATGTCAAACAACTAGCGTATTGTACAGTTCATAGGTAAATCTAAGGAAGTACTTTACCATGCACTTGAGATTATTTTCTGCCTAAGTTTTGAATCGATTAAAGGAGGCAGCTTCCTCTTTCCTCATACCAAACTTACCGATTACATTGCTATTTAAGAACTTAAAGTGTTTTCTTACGGTTGATATAACTATCAATAATTATGAGTATGATTTAATTTCTGAGGTCAGACCAGGCGGGAATACTATCTTCATCAAGGCGTAGGAGCAATTGCTTACGCCCCACCAGAAATGCTCGAAACACGGCATACCGAACAAGTCGATGTGTTCACGATGGGCATCGTGTTCCATGCAATTCTGGAAGGCAAGTACCGCGACTACGGCGAAATTAGATGTTATGGTGTCTTTGTTGAGACCGACAATGAAGAGAAAGAGCCGATTGGATGGGAAATGCATCAGCAACAAAGGGAGCTTCCTGTTCCATTTCAAGGAAGAAGACGACGATTAATTCAACGGATGTTGAAGTATGATCCGAGAGAAAGACCAACCGCTAAAGACGTTCAGAACGTGTTAGGATCAAGATTACGAACCTGGTTTCAACTTGTGTATTAAAGGTCAAGATGGTCTGCTTTGTGATTTCATAGTGTTTGTTGAACATTGTTGGACACCAGTTCAGGCCCATTGCATGCTGTTAAAAACACTTATGTATTAATATTCGGGCTAGTCGTTTCATCTACGAGACTACGAATAACTGGAGAATTTTTTAATATATTGCCATATTAAGCTATATACCCGCAGCATCGATGAACTGATATCAACCGAAGGAGATGAGTATATTATTATATAAAAAAAAACGAACAGCGTTGATTCTATATTATAGTTTTATTATTATTGGTAGCCAACTGGAAATAATGATTAGATTTAAATACGGAATAAAAATATTGGTTAAATTTAAAACCTGCGAACGGTGGAGAAAGGATGTTTGTACCTCTTTGTACAATTTTTGTTCTGTATGATGTTATAGTGAACTTGTTTTACAAAATAACATGCAATTACTATACGCAAGCTAAGCGCTACAACTATGAGGTGCGAATTCATTCAAATTCGTTTCATTTGATGTGGTATTCCCGTATATTTTGAAGGCTGTAAAGAATTAGACTATATCACTGTCTGTACATGCGGCTACAATGTTTACCTAAACATCACGGTTTTTGTTAAATTGTTTATTTCATGAAGGACTTTGTATAATTGAAGTGTTTAATGAAAATAATGCGTGCCTGCTGCGTGGAGAGGATTGTAAAGAGCAAATTTTTATGTAAAACACGAATTCAATGATGCTAAAAAATTCATTCAAGGAATGTAAGAAAACGAAAGTGAGACGTATTTTACCGAGATCTAGATTTTGCGATGATGGATACAGTCGAGGAAGCGTGTGAATACAGAAAACCAAGCATATTATATAAACTGGGTAAAAAACTCGGTCAGGGTGCTTTCGGGGAAGTCTTTCAAGCAACGGAATCTGGTGGTAAGCGACGGATCCTTGCCATAAAGTTGATAAAGTGCATTCGAAATGAAGATCTCGAAAATGCCATTAGGGAGATCACATTTTTGACAGGTTTAAACCATACTAACATTGTGGAGATGTACGATTTTGGCGTAAGGCAAGAGTGGCAAATGGAGGTTGATTTCTCCTTGTTGCTGGAGTACTGCTCAAAAGGTGGGCTTAATAATAAATTGGCCCAACAAAATTCGAAAACCCAGAAGCTTGCCTGGATGCGCAGTATTACATCAGCCGTCGTTTATTTACACAGCGAAGGAATCGTACATCAGGATTTGAAGCCAGATAACATCTTGTTAACTGAGGATAATGTTATTAAAGTGGCTGACTTTGGCCTTGCGCGAAGATTTGCTCAACGGTCTGAAGGTATATATATACCTGATGCTGCATGTTTCAGATAATCTATGCCATAGCTTTTTTATTTTATTTTAAACTACTGAAATTCATTGATAAAATCAATCATATATAAGAGTTTCTAAGATTCCTAGCCGTCCAAAGGTGGTTATGTATCTTAAAGTCGCCAAGCAGCGACGACGGCGATTTTGGGAAGGCCTTTAAAAAGTTTAAAAACCTGGATCGACTGTTAAGATAAGAAGTGGCATGTGACAATTTAGGGTTGCATAATAAACTTCCATGCAGTAAACTCTATGTTAAATTAATAAAATGTAATCTCGTGTTACAATTGAATTTCTGAGGGCAAACATGGAAGGAATACTACATCGACCAGGGCGTTGGAGCAATTGCTTATGTGGCACCGGAAATGCTCGGGAATCATCATAACAACAAAGTCGATGTATTCTCGATGGGCATTGTGTTCCATGCAATCTTAGAAGGCATGTACCGCGACTACGGCAGCAAAAGATATTATGGTGTCTTTGTTAAGACGAAGAATAAACAGAAAGAACCGATCGGGACGGAGATGCATGAGAAGCAAAGGGACCTCCCAGTTCCATTTCAAGGAAGAAGACGACGATTAATTGAACGTATGTTGAAGTATGATCCGAGAGAAAGACCAACCGCTAAAGACGTTCAGAACGTTTTAAGATCAAGATTACAAACCTGGTTTCAACTTGTGTACTAAAGGTCAAGAATTGAATGCATTATTTTTGGTGAACCGTTTCTGGTCATCAGTCAGTTTTGCTGTATGGAGGGGGCTCATAAACTTGAGAGTAATTATATGGAAATAAAAATCAGTAACTGAGCACATGAATTCAACGGAACACATTTCATATATGGGACAAATTAATACATGATTTAACTTAGCTATAAGTTTAATTTGTATGTTTTTCCAAGCGTTTTTTTACTAAGAATAATAGTATCGACAATGTATAAGGTAATGTAATTGACTTCAGTTGAATTTCTTACCACGACCATCACAACCACAATGACATTTACAATAACAACAACCACAATCGTCACAACTTCCTTCACAACAGCAACAACAACAACAACATAGTAATCGGAGTAATTTTCTAATCCAGCTCGTTTCCTCCTGACCAGAGCCACTGTGTGAAATAAGAGGACGACGGTCATCGTATTGTTCTTCAATAGTCTCATTCTGGTCGCAAACGCTTTTATTTTTAGATGACGAGGCGTCTGCCGCTGTTACTGGTCCAGTTGATTTGACGCTTGTTCTTAATTCATCACTCTCGGTCCCGAATGTTTTCCAATCTTGTCCAATTTTTTCATTTGACGTTTGTGTTTCTTGGTCAGTGGTGTGGCTACGCTTGAATGTTCCCCAGTCTTGTCCAAATTTTTCATTTGACGTTTGTGTTTCTTGGTCAGTGGTGTGGCTACGCTTGAATGTTTTCCAATCTTGTCCATATTCTGCATCTGAGGTTATGTTGTGATACTTCATGTCCACCTTCTGGCGAACGGGACTTGAGTATGCCGGTAGACATTTCATATTACCTGTTAGCATTTTTTGTAGACTTGAGTCGAATAAAAAACATCCAATGTTCACTCTTGCTGAAATATTAAAATATACAAAAATACTTTTATTGTTCTGTCAAGCTGAAAGGTTTCAGAAATATAGTTTTGTGAAGACGTCCACGACAACTTACAAAAACATCATCATGCATTATACCTCACCTGGTTCGCCTGTGATGTTCGCAATGAAAACTATAAACCTTCCTCCAGCTACGGTGGGTAAATGTTTCCACACGGTGTTCTGATCCCCATGACTTGGTTCTGCCAAACCTAATTTGTGGTGTGAATGCCATTCTCCAATATTACATAATCCTTGTAAGGAAGTCAAATATTCTATAATGTAAGAATTTAATATTTGTTGACAGAACACCTGATATTTAGGAAAAGAAGTCGGCTGTTTACTTCTTGTTGCTGAATTATAAGATCGCTTGTGTATTATATAGGATTTGTTCCGCATCACGACATCAGTGATCAGCTTGGTATGCTTGGAATTGACTTTGCGTGGAATTGCGCACAGCACAATTGTGCGAAGTTGCGGCTGCTTTTTCTTTCACTTCAGCTCTTAGCAAGTGGTCAAGATGTTTATACACTTTGTCCAAAACATTGATTTTTTTTCGCAGAGGTTCAAAGGGTTTCAATTTCGAGTGGAATTATACGTCAGTTCAATTCTAATCTGGTGTGAGACTTTGGCGAGAACTCGCTTCTAGAAACACTTAGCTACTTACCACCAACTTCTTTCAAGTAGTCCACGTCTTGATGAAATGATGTTGTTGTCCGTTTGCATCCCTTCCCTGGACCTGAGATAAGTTGTACAACTGCCGTGTGTTTGTCCTGCCATAAACCAAACAAATCACCTCCGGTTTCAATATCACGTTTCTGCAGAACGAGCCACTTCAGAAATTCTAACTCGTGTTCGTAAATATAAACACTGACGCTTCCGTTATTCGCCATTTATATAACTATTAAACGTTACATGCAATGAATCAAAGTGTAAACTCTTAATCATTAACCCAATGTTACTCTTCTATTTCTCTGGAAGTGTTGTACACTACGACTACGTGTGCTTACTGATGTGTTCACTTTCATTTGTGTTTCTTCCAAGAATACAGAAGTCTTACCAGGAAATACCGTTGCATTTTCGCTTCCATGCTGGGTTGGACAAAAGCTTAATAAGCTTATTTGTTATGCAGCATAATGTAATTAAATTGTTGTTTTTATATAGTCATATTAATTAGACTCGTCACGAACTTGCTGCAATACCATCAAACGTTTGCGAGTGGTTGGCTATACTGAGGTTCATAAGAATAAAAATTATTTACAGTATAAATGAAAAATGCCGGATGAATCGTTTTTATTTGAATATAACTACAGGATATAACATTAACATTCTTAACATTCACATTCGTTTACATTCGACTGCATGTGCATGTGTTTTTAAATAAATTTATACTGGTAAATTTATATCGGGAAATATTATTGTTCATGCATCTTGCTGTGCCGCGCAAAGAATGAGACAGCTCATGCATTCCTGGGTATGTTTAACATTAATTGCTGCATTCTCCACCTCGAAACAGAGTTTCCGGGGAAGGAAGGGGGTTTGCTCGTACAAACCATGCATTAGCTTATTCTAAAACGCCTATAGCCCTGACATAAACGAGCTGTCTATTCCTGACGGAGTAAAAGACCTGAGCTGCTTAACCGGATTTGGTTATAAATAGTATTTTTCTGTTCCTTTGCTTTTTAGACCTACAATCAACATCAATATTATAATACATTATAACAACTATAACAGTAAAATCATTGATTATCAATATCTTCATAATTGCGATTATTAGTGCACCTGCGTATGTACTCGTAAAAAGCGCGAAGTGATTCTATAATTCCATTCAGGTAGCTCTGAACTCTCGTAGTTGTTTCTTGGTCAGTGGTGTGGCTTTCAATTTTGAATGTTTCCCAATCTTGTCCATCTTCTGCGTCTGAGGTTATTTTATGGTACATCGTCGTCTTCTCCAATGTCAGGCGAACAGGACTTGGACATGATAGACATTTGATATTACCTGTTAGCATTTTTTGTAGACTTGTGTCGAAGAGGAAACATCCAATATTTACCCTTGCTGAAATATTGAAATATATAAATATACTTCTCATGTTATGTCAAGCCTTCAGAAACATACTCTAAAATTTTGTTATAATCTTACTTTCGTGAAATGTCAGCATAAACCTCAAGAATATTATGCATTATCTGTACCGATACCTCACCTGGTTCACCTGTGATGTTTGCGATGAACACTATAAACCTTCCTCCAGCGACGTCAGGTAAATGTTTCCACACGGTGTTCTGATCCCCATGACTTGGTTCTGCCAAACCTAATTTGTGGTGTGAATGCCATTCTCCAATATTACATAATCCTTGCGAGGAAGTCAAGTAACCTGAGAAGAATGTAATCAGTGTTGTAGAAGCATCTGGCAATTGGGAAGAAAGTGTGCTGCTTCTTCGGCGCATTTATTGCTAATATAAGGACAACTTTGCTTTTAGTAAATCGTTATGAAGAATAGCCACTAACGCATACAGCCTGCTATTATAAAGCTTTTAGTTTTTGAGTTGAGCTGTTTCTCTTTGCATTTGCACTTGGCAACTAGGATAGATATTCCCAATGCACTCTGACGTTATTCATACACCTGCTGAAAGTTAGAATGATTTTATTCATCTGGAACTCAGAATTTGCTGTTACAAATGCCACGTACTTACCGCCAGCTTCTCTTAAATAGTTCACGTCCTGATGAAATGATGATGTTGTCCGTTTGCATCCCTTCCCTGGACCTAAGATAAGTTGTACAACTGCCGTCCGTTTGTCCTGCCATAAACCAAACAAATCACCACCGGTTTCAATATCACGTTTCTGCAGAACGAGCCACTTCAGAAATTTTAACTCGTGTTCGTACATATAAACACTGACGCTTCCGCTATCTCGGGCATTCAGCGAGGAACTGGAAGGCTGGTTCGAGATCGAGACTAATTCCATTCGAGACTAAATCTTGAATAAATGAAACGTCTTGATTTGTCCCAAACGTTCAACTAACACTATTGCTTTTCCCAAAAAGCCGCTGCAATTTTTTACACTATAAATGTTTAATTAATTTCGCTTTTATGTTGTTTCTAGGAATACAGAGCAGTCTTACTAGGAAGCGGTTGCTAATTGTGCATCTCTGCATAGCTAGACGTAATCTTATATGCAATAGTTGTTTTAATATCATGGACTGGTTCGCATCAGGACCGCACAGAGATTTTTTAAGGCTCGAGGCAAAAGTCTTATTGCATGAGAGTGCCAGTCCTCTAGCAAAAAAGCCAGAAGCAAAGGATCCATGTGATGAGTTGCTTATAACAAAAAATCGCAATGATGATGTTTCTAAGAAATAAATTATGAATTATTTTCAGTAGAATTAATAACATGTTCATTCAATTTCATTGTTGGCAATACACTAATATTTGTTAATCTTTTTATTGTATCAATTTACCCTTTATTGCAGTCAGTTTTTCAAATTTAGAATGAGATTTAACTAGTATACAAATAAGTTTAAAAGTTATATAATGTCGATGATGGTAAACTGTGGCTTCCTTAATCTTCATACGACGTTCGCCGACCGTCCGGACGTATTTTTCGATAAAGAGAAGTCAGACATCCAATAAGCGTTCTCCCTAAGTTAGCAACAATGCGACAAAAGATTGAAAAAGTGGCTCTGAAACATCCGCATATGCTTGTCGCGCAATCACAATCACAACACGGGAGGCAATCACAGCATTGACAACCTTCACAGCAACTCTCATGATGCCTATCTTTGACATCGCACACGCAAAAATCACCCGTTGTCAGTGATTCAAGGTCGCCATCACCCACTTTATTCCCACGTCCACGTTGAACCTTTCTCAGTTTCGACGCGAAAAACGTCTCCCAATTTTGACGCGGTTCTGCCTCGTGTTTGAATTGTTCCTTTCGCGCAAAGGTATGACGAATTGGACTGCAGTTCATGAGAAATTCAAATTTACCTTGAGTCATCTTTCTTGTGCTGGTATTGAACATGAAACAACCGACTTTCGCGTCCCCAAAACTTTCGATATTTGCGATAAAAACCAGAAATCGTCCGCCACTGACTGTGGGCATATGCTCCCAGACAGTTCTTTGATCCCCATCGCTTGGATAGGCCAGACCAAGGCGGTGATGAGAATGCCATTCACCTATGTTACATATGCCTTCATTTGATGTCAAATAATGCCCGACATTTCCTAAATAGTCGATATCTTGGAAGAAGGACGTGGTAGTGCGTCGACACTTCGCACCAGGGCCGAGTACAAGTTGTACGACAACACAAGACTCGCTCTGCCAAACACCAAACAAGTCGCCTCCCGTTTCGAGAAAACTTTTCTGTAACACAAGCCATTTCAAGTACTCGAATTCGTTCGCGTATATGTACACCGTAAATGCATTGCCATTGCCATTTGACATAGACATCACGTCGAACTTGCGATATTCTATCTGCTAAATCGTACGGCTTCAGTCAACTGAGCATTTGACACTATTTGTCATTCACCAGACTCATTTATTGATAGAGTAATTCTTCGAGATCTCGCAGTGCAATGTACTGCATTGTATTGACCTTTTCTTTCTTTTCTCCTACAAGCAGAACATTCAAGTTGTTATTTGCACTAACTTACAATTAAAAGGTCCCTGTATACCAAGAAAATAAGACCAAATATGCTTCCGGTTTTCCAAGAATATGTAAGATTATGTTTACATGATATGTCCAGCTATTCAGTTTTACTAGGAATTTTAGTTCCAAGTATAATGACTTTATCTTAATCTCGAATCCCGAAATCCAATCTAACTCATTCCAACACTATACAGTGACAAATATTCAAGTAATATCTGCACCCACCTTACACGGGTTGTTATATATAATCTCCGATGCGGATCTCTGGCTGTGGTTGTTTTGGTTTCAGTTTCCATTTCAGATTCCAGTTTTGATTTTAGATCTTGTTTCGATCAAAGATTATACTCCACGATATATTCCACGATATTTGTTTACCAGCAAAGTAACTCCATTGGCATTTATAATTATTCACCTCAGATTGTCTGTGTCTCATGTCTCATGCTGCGTTATTCAAGTGGCTGTATGTGTATGATCAAGTATACATGGCTAATGAATCGAAGAAATTAATTTTTTAACAGTCGTAAAGCTACTTACAAGCGAGCCAACAACCGTCAAATTATTAAAATACCCAAGTGTTCGAACTTAGTTACAATTTCAGACACTCGATAACGGAGAAAGGGCTTTATATATGGCCGAAGAGATCAATGTGTCGGTGATTGTTGATCAACTAAGAGCGGCAGGCACAGATTCACTGAAGCAGCTGCCAGCCCTTCTAAAGCTTGGTGAATTTTACTTGAAGAAGGCAAAGGCAAGCGCGAATGGCGCGGATTTTACCAAAGCTAACGCACTTTTCAACGCAGCACTTGTAAGATCAGACTGTGTGGATCACACCACGGATGAAGATGAAGTACTTCGGAGAATCGTGGAGACCTTTCGTGCATTTTTGTTAACCCTGACAAATGATAAAGAGATGAGTTCAAGTGAGATCCGGAATGAAATACATGCTCATAAAGAGTTTCTTGCCCGCGAAAGACGAATCTTGCAAGAGTCGATCGAGGAAATAGATTCTTCCTTCAACACGAAAGAACAAACCGAAGATCAATATAAGGTATAAAGTTTTAAAGACTCTTGTAATGTTTTTGTAATCAATCCCTTGATATTCTGGTTTAAACGGGCTCAAGTTATTCCAAGTCTTGCATTATATGAATTTAACAACTGCTAATGGTTTTGATTTTATAACGACTTTAACTGTGATGCACTTTGGATAGCGTCGCAAGAGATTTATAAATGTAACAAATGCATGATGTACCATAGCTGTGTTTTAAGGCTTGCATGTCTGTACCCCTTTACAAAATTGTATTTATTTTTGTTTAAGATTCATGCAGAGAAGATGCATGATGTTTTTCGAGACATTCAAGACATGTACGTCCGACTCGTATCAATGTTAGTCAAAGAATGTGAGAGTAGACTTGGTCAAAAGCCGTGTGACTATGCTATCATTGCCCTAGGCTCAGTAGCACGTATGGAAGCTACTCCATTTTCTGATTTGGAATTTGCAATACTATATTCCGACCAAACTATAGGAGACAAGGTCAACTACTTTCGTGTACTAAGCCATTTTCTTCATATGAAAGTTATTAACCTTGGGGAGACTATCTTGCCAACTTTGGCGATTGAAGAGCTCAACGATTTTCAGTCTTCAGACCCGAATAGCAATTGGTTCTATGACTCACAAACGTGTAGGGGTATTTCATTCGACGGAGCGATGCCATGGGCTTCCAAAACCGCGCTTGGAAGAATGGCGACGCAAGATAAGCCTGCATTAGAGTTGATTAAAACACCTGAACAAATGGCTGAATTGCAAGATGAAAAAATTGCTGTAAAGGAAGGTTATCATTTAGGTAAGAATAAATAAAAAACGTAAAAGTCCGGGATAAATATATAGTGTTCAATATCAGGATATCAAGATCTGCCAGGGTATGTTCAATATTTTTGCAATCTTAGGTTTAAATTATGACCTCCACATGTGATAGACACAGTGCAGTCAGTAGAAGTATGCATAATCCAGCTCCAGTTTCTCTAAAAACTAATTGTAACCGTTATTATCTAGCTGATATTATGTCAAGAGCTACATTGCTTTATGGAGAGAGGCCCTTGTTCGACGAGTACAATGAACGTGTGGCTGAAAAACTAAATGCTGTAACGAAATTCACTCCAGCAACGGTGGGTTTTGTGCGAGGAATTCAACAAATGATGTTAGATATTGCTTCGTATCATCCCTATTACTCCTACCTTGGCTCGCATTGTACCATAGGTGCTTTTTTCGACGCGAAGAAGCAGTTCTATCGTCTTATCTCGCTGCTCCTCTCAGATTTGGGGCTGGTATTTGACGTACGATGTGCCTCGCCGTGGCAGGTGATCTCAGCTTTGCAAGCACGTGGAATCATCGATGACACAGAAGGTACTAGCATCAGAGTCTGTCTTTCGATTGCTAACGAAATTCGTCTCAAAACGTACCTGGCCAATGGTGGACAAAAAGAATTAATTTCACCAATTCCAAAGTTGGCCGGCGTTTCAGCAAAATCTACTGAACCACCCATTTTCCGACACTTCAATGAAGATTACCTTGTACGTCTTCTCAGTACTAGTAAAGTTGTCAATGAGCGCTGTCACGTGTTTTGTATGAAGTATCTGCAAGATCATGAAATTGATGTGAGTATATTTAAAAATCTATCCGTTTCAGTATCGAGTCCAGATCTTTTAGGGACTCTTTATTTTCGGTTGCAAAATTTTCCCAAAGCCCTACAGTTGTTGCAATTCGAATCACAGGACAGTCCGAATTACTCCCTCTGTCTTAACAGTCAAGGGATCATATATAATGAATACGGAGAATATGCTAAAGGTCTCGAGTGTTTTCAAAGGGCATTAGAAGTACATTATCAGAACGTGGGGAATTCAAAACTTAGTGTGTTGCATTGCCTTGAAAATCTAGCCTTGTCGTACCTTTATATTGGTCTTTACGAAAAAGCTAGGGATCATTTGGAGAAAGCAATCGCCAAACACCACGAAATGTATGGGAAGGATACTGAGACGATTGTTCTTAACCGCCTGATGCAGAATATAGGCATGACCCATTACAAACTTGGTGATGTTAGACTAGCTATTAAAATATTTCTGGAAGTTAAAAGATTGCAAGAGAAATTGTTCGACGTCCCTGATATTGATATTATTCACTTAAACCTGAATATCGCCTTGTCCTTGTCTGAACTAGATGATCAAACCCAGTCGTTGGAGTATGTAAAGGAAGCATTGCATTTAAGTAAGAGGTTATTTGGCGAAGCAGATCAAAGTGTAGAGTTGGCTAAGATCTATGTAAATGCAGCCACAGTTTATGAGCGTTGTAATCTGAATGACCAAGCTCTGTTTTGGTACGAAAGATCCTTAGAACTGCTGAAACTCATATTCGGTGACATTTCCCACCCAGGTGAGACAAACACTAAGATGAACTGCAGTATTCACACCTTTTTAATGCACGTGCTTAGTATTTTCCCTCTCAACCTAGTATGATAATCAGTTTTTCCTTCTATTTCAAGGTAAAATATCTTGTTTAAACAATTTGGGAAACTTCTTCTCCAGAAGATATCAAACGACGAAGGCTATTGAAAGTCTGGAAAACGCTTTAAAACAGGCAAGAGATATGTATTGCGAGAAACCTCATATAACAGTTGCGCTGACACTGAATAACCTTGGCGTGGCTTTAAAACGCGCTGAAAAGTCAGAGGAATCATTTCCCTACTTTCAAGAAGCGAAGGAAGTCATGGATCAAATCCTGGGACCCAATCATGTGCATCCAACCACCTCAGATATCCTGAATAACATGGGAACAATTTATCAAGATCTCGGACTCTTAGATGAAACTCTCAAATGTTATAAAGACGTGCACCAAATGAACTGTGCTATCTATGGAGAAAATGGCGTGAGCGATGCCATGGCAACCGTCTGTTCGAATATCGCCTGTGTTTCAGAGGAGTTAGGAGACTATACCCAAGCCAAGGAATACTATAGTAAGGCTGTGGAACTCGATAGGAAAATTTCCTCGGCAAAAAACACCAGCCCCGGTCTAGTGTCCAGTCTTTATGGCTTAAGCTCAATCTGCGAGGTTCTGGATGAATCAGATGAGGCATTGAAACATTTAGAAGAAGCCAGGGAGGTCGCTAAGAATGCTGGATCGAAAAATGTGATGGTCGCAACCGTTCTCGTTGAATTGGGAATGAAATACAATAAGTTGGGATGCATTGATAAAAGAAAGATGTGTTTGAATGAGGCGAAAGAAATAGCAGAAAGTCTCGCACAAGATGATTCTTTATCCCCTTCAGTCATGGAACTGGTCGAAATATTGAAAGGCGGAGTTAGGATAAAGTGATTGTGACCCAAGTGGTGCTCTCCCGCTCTTCTAAAGATTGATACGTCCAAAAAACACTGAGCAATATTGATTTATTTATAATAACCGGATTTACCACAATATATACGTACTACTAGCATTCCTTACAACGCCAACTTGTGTTTTTTATATATTTAAAATATGTATATGGCATTGACTTCACTCGTCTCTCAAGCAGTATGTTTGATATTTAATAGAAATCATTATAGTTTTTTCAATGCCACACATGGTGGTTAAGTGGTCAGTAAACTTTTTGTATCTACGATTGATTGTTCCTTGTTGATTGATTTATCCGTTCAAAACTAAGACCACCACCAACACCACTGTTCCAATCAACACTAAAACCCCCACTAAAATGAAAAACCGTTTATTGAATTTAGATTTCCAAGAAGAACTACTCTCAATGTCGCTGGCAGAATTGGGTAGGGGTGATGCAAAATCACGTAATAGTCGTGTTTGGTCATCTGATTCTGTCGTAGATCCTTTCTCTTTTTTGGCACGCTTTGGAGTTTTTGATCTATTTTTCGAATTTTGTGGCTTCTTTTTTCCATTTGTCTTTTCGTTTTTAATTATGCTACCATATTTCGTCATATTTCCATTTTCCAAATTTGTTTCACGAGTATCATTTTTCGTTGGGGAATTAGGAGTTAGGGATTTAGGAGTTCGAGATTTAGGAGTTGGGGATTTAGGAATTAAGGATTTAGGAATTGCGGATTTAGGAGTTGGGGATTTAGGAGTTGCGGATTTAAGAGTTGGGGGTTCGGAGGTTGGGAACTTAGGAGTTGAGCTTCCCACTGGGGGAGTTCGTGGTTGTCTCTTCTGTGGAGATCTTGAAACCTTTTTCTTTTTTGTTGAGCTACTATGATGGCTTTCGAAATTTTTCACAAAATCTTCCCAACCCACCCCTTGCTCTGGACCTGGTGCTACATCGTTAAATTGCCCGCGAATCGGGCTATACCCCTGTAATATCTGCAGTGAACCTTCGCTCATATCCTTTGTTGTAAACATAAAGCACCGAATAGAAACAGATGGTTTTTTAAACGAGTCGCTTATGGACGCAATGAAGACCAAGAATCGACCACCAGCTACTGAATCCATATTGCTCCATACTGTGGTTTGGTCGCCATAGCTTGGGGTGGGCATACCAATTCTATGGTGCGAGTGCCATTCACCAATATTGCACAAACCTTGGGACTTGGTCAATTTTTCACCCACACGTGATAAATAATCTACATCTTGGTGGAATGAGGTCTGCGTACGTGAACAACCTTCACCTGATCCAATAAAGAAATTGTGTCAGCATAGACTTGATTGCTGTTATAACATCGTCAAATAACTACTCAACACCAAAATGTATATAAACAGCAATATGCCATGTTCATTCAATAATATGCTATATATAAAAATGGCTATATTCATGCGTCAGTTGTACCAATGAAAGCTTGGTGAATAATGGTATTTAGAGTTTCTAAAACATTGGAAATTGGATCGTATTCACGAATTGAAACTAAAACTAGACGCGATTATAAGGCTTGATAGCGACCCCCGCAGAGGTCTCAGTCAGGTGATACAAGTTGATGCTATAAATCTAGCTACAAGCAATGTGTTTTATGTCTCTATTACCTGGTCCAATGACAAGCTGAACTATAACAGTGTCTTCACTTTGCCATAGTCCAAATAAATCACCACCAGTTTCGATATTCTGCCTCCGTAACACCAACCATTCCAGAAATCGTATTTCTTGTTCATACATGTACACAGTAAAGGGCTTACCCCATAGATTGCTCATGTTTTTGTTATGTTTTTAGTGAGTCGTCTTAAGTTTAAAGGTTGAATAATGTAAAATATATTTTGTTATGAATTAGGCCATATATAAAGGAAGCTATCAGCCAAAGATAACCTTGATCAATCTTCTTTTGTTTTTAAGTCTAAAGATCAACGATTCATCTTACGTCATCTTCTTTCATCGATGATAAATACACGTTTATTTGCATAGAAATTGTGGTCAGTTTTGCTTTGAACTCGCACACAAGCAGAAAATTATCTTTATCGAATTGTATCTTCTTTATCCTCTCAAGATTACCTGGTTATAGACGCAGTATTTATAAAATGAACCGCTTCGGTTCCGGTTCGAGACGCACTTTCACTTTGACCAGTATGGAAATTGATCTGTAATTCCAAGTAACAGATCGGATTGTTATCATTTTCCTGTTTTCAATATCTGCGGTTGCACGGAAGCGGGTGCGTAGTCTACCATGAAGTACTAAAGCAATTTCAGCCACAAAAAACATTGAAACAGACAACTCAGAACTTATTCTTTTGCAAAGTTAACGATTGATTAACATTTCTCTATTTAGCGTATTTACAGTGATCATATTCACCACATATTCACTCTCAGAGCGCGGAATACTGTTTCGTGTTTTACGTTCAAAAATTTGATTTGTATTATCGAAGGTGACTTAAATGGCTGTGCATATGACTGATGAGTTGATCAATAAATTCTACTTGATCTTGATCATGTCTTTTTTCCTCGGACCATCGCATCACTTCTCTTGAAGAGCCGGAGCCTGTTCTGAGCCCCATCAATTTAATTACCAATGGTGCGCAAGGAAAATTGAGAGGAAACTCAAGAACAACGTGACATCTTTTTGTTTCACACGAAAGACCAAGGCACCCGTTCTTTTTACTCATCTCGATGTCTTTTGATGGGTTTTTGAATTTCTCCAGTTTGCTATGGAGCAGTTGGACGAAGGTGCCTCCCCAATCGCTTTGAAACCAGCTCTCACTTGGCATCGGCGGGTTCTGGGGTCGATGCGATCCACTTTGTTCCTCTCCACTTCGAATATTCCTTAAAACAATCTCATCCTTCATGAAAACGTTGGGTTTTTCGATGTATTTCACTTCTGTAAAATAGCGTTGGAATAGCATAAGATAATACTCTAATTGAAATGGATAATTTAAGTCTGTAAAAATGAGCGCACTAGATGTCTTTATTCACCTCACACTTGCAAAACTGATGTTACTCTCTACGATTCTCAAATGATTAACAAATACTTTATTTCAAGATAATTCCTTTGGATTTTCTGATTGTTAGAGTAATGATTATTTAGACCATGGCCATTGCCACAACATTACAACACACAGACAGTCATATTGCTGATGATTCTGGGAAACAGCGCGTCTAGGCACTTATAATGTGTGACTGTAATGTCAATAACCTTCCCGATTTACGACCCGTCACGAAGTGCTTCTGACAGACTAACAAACTATTTGTACCTCTAGTTAGTCTAGTATTCAATACATTACCTATGCTTTCGTGCGTATGGCTCGACGCTCTAAAAAGCCATGGATTTAGACGAACGTCGTCGTTTTCGATTGTCGCAATTATAAGCAGGAAGCGTTCGACTCCGGCGGGAAAATGTTTCCAAATGCTGTTTAGGTCCCCACTGCTTGGCTGCCTTAATCTCAACTTATGATGCGAATGCCATTCACCGATGTGGCACATCATAAATTCTTTATTCAAGAAGGTACCAACGCTTTTTAGGTAGTCGATATCCTGATGAAACGAGTGAGTACCGTGACGGGAATTCTTGCCAGGACCTGTGATAATGTTGATGTACGGATTTTTCTCATGAGTCCATAAACCAAACATTTGGCCACCGGTTTCACGATCTGGATACCGTAAAACCCAATCTCTTACTCGTGTGTAATCTTCTCGAAATAGCAAAACCACTGGCTTTCGGCTCGCCATATTTCTGGATTGATTTCTAGGTTGTCTTTGAAGGAGCTGTCCACCTGAGTGTCTGGCCGTAGCTTTTATTGTAAACAGAGTACATTGTGACCGGAAGTGCCTCAAAGTGAAAGTGCAACCTGAAGTGGATTCCCGGAGAGATCCTAATTATAGAAACGTAGATAAGTTCTCAGAAAGTCGTTTTAACTGTTAGCTGTGCGCGCATATCATTCTGGTAGTCTTTCAGGGATTAATTTACGTTGCAAGTTGCTGAACTAAATTACTAAATGTATCCCCAAATTGCGATAACTCAAGAAATAATCCGGTTGAATGGTATCAAATATCAACAAGGTTGCTACAAAATATTCCCTGTGACGTTTTTATGGGTGTGTTGGGAACTCCATGCCATGGGAACGTTGTGGTAACAGTTCCACCCATGTTAGATACGTACATTTGGGTGAAGTATACAGTGTACTGGCTTACACGAAGTATGCCGCCAAGGTCGATTTGATGCACGTGGCATAAAGACCGGTTCAATAACACCACCATTATTTTGGTCTGGTGTTTTATAATTATACACAATAATACACAACTCTCTTTACAACTGTTGCGAGTGTTTTGCTATGAGAAAACCAGCCACCATGTTAGGAGTGGCTGCTGCAGGTACACTCGTTGCATATGGTGTTTATTCTTATTTAAAAAGAAGGAAACAAAAGCAGACAGATGAAATTATCAATGATATAGTATGTATTGGCTTGGTTACTTGTATAATTATTTGCAAATTGCAACGTTCTAGTAAGGTTAGGAATGCCTACATAATTAATACACTGTAATGTATAACCTCACTGGGAGATTTGTAGCCCTGTATCTGACTAATCAACACTTATACACTCTTTCACAGTAAAAAAACATATGGCATTAGATGGGGTATATGAAACTGGAATACTAGAGCATTTGGGTCCATTGACTTCATTCACATTTTTTTTTATCACATTTGATCACATTTTTCTTTTTTAATGGTAGATGAATGACTTTAAAGATGCAAATGTTTTTATTAAAGACCCAGTTGGTCTGCGAGGGAAATTGAAGGGTTTAATGGAAGGTGGTGCTGAGAAAATGCAGGTTTGACAGTTTTCAAAATTTATGAGGCGAAAATTAATGACATGGTTGGGACTTGAGACTTTTAGCAGAGTCAAACCATGAATTGCATTTAAAATTTGCATTTTGTTACACCTAGTGTATTGCTGATTTTGATGGTACTTTAACAAGAGGGTCTTACAAGGGACAACCTGCACAAAGTAGCTTTGGTAAGTTGACTGGTATTGCCTGGTTTTTTATTACATGCAGTTTTATTGTAATTGCATGTCAACTTGGCTTTTGTATACATCTAGCTGTCGTTTCACGCACTGCTTTGTTGCCTGAGGATGTTGAAAGAAAGGTTAATGTTTCTTAGATTCATTCAATAAAAATATATAAATAATTTGATGTATCGTAAATGTGAGCTAGATTCAAAGATATTTGATTTCAGGCTTTTAAAAATTCAAAATAAACTATTTTGTTAAGGAACAAGAGTTGAGGGCAAAGTATTATCCAATTGAGAGATCAAGGTAATACTATCCTAATGGGTAATTAATTCTCTGTTTGTGACGATGAGGATTATATGCGTGTCCTCTCTTCTTTTTAATAGAAACAGTATAGGTTAGTCACACATATGACAGGGAATCACTCTAGTCACATGCCCTAATGTTGATCTTTAATCAAGAAAATGTTAATTGTGCCTCTGTGACTTTAAACAGTTATATTTATAAACAATTTTTACCAGTGACAAGACATTAGAAGAGAAATGCAAGGCTATGGAAGAATGGTAACATTATATTTATCAATTATTATCTAGCTTCTGTAATTTGGAGTTTAAAATTTATTAGGATTTTTTTTATCCCAGGTGGGCAGGAATCTTTCGTATACTGGAAGAGAGCAGCTTTACAAAACAAATGATTCCAGACATAGTTAAAGGTGGAACTTCAGTTTTAAGGTAAAACCTATTTAACAATTACTAAACAAGATTGAGCACGTACACTATGAAGAACTATCATTCTAAAGCTTGTCATTTATTGTTATCTAAATAGTATTAACATAATTATTAAATTGTGCTTTTGCAGGGAAGGCTGTGTTTATTTTCTCCAGAGGTTAAATGATGAAAAAATACCTCTCTTGGTTTATTCAGCTGGAATTGGAGGTAAATAATTCTACCTTCATTCAACCATAGCAATAAAATATGACAAATTAATTGGCAATGTGGAAATACCAATAATTATACTAGAACTATTATTGGAGTTATTTCTGCATTATTTAGATATAGTGGAAGAGGTTATTCAGCAACAAGCTGCTGATTCTACCAAAAATCTTGACAACATCACCATCATTTCAAACTACATCAACTGGGATAGTGAAGGAAATATGAATGGAATTAAGGGACACTTTCTTCATTCAAGCAATAAAGGAAGTTTTGCTGAATCTTTAGATTATAAAGATACTGTGAAGGTAAGATGAATCAAGCATATATTCACTTGAAGGTGAGTATTTTCATTGTAAAATTGCTGTTTCTTTTTCATTATAGACTCGGACAAATATTATTCTGTTGGGGGACAATGTAGGAGACTCAGAGATGATAAAATGTGCTGGAAATGTTGAAATCTGCTTGAATATTGGTTTCTTAAATGACAATGTAAGACATATGCTTTTCTTGATTTTCTAGTAGTCCTTTCCTGATTTTCTAGTAGTCCTTCACTAATACTTACTGCTCACTTATAAGCAGTGCTCTTATTAATTATTATACCATCTAGTATTGTTATTTTTCAAATGATTAAAGTTAGGATTTTCCCACAATTAAAAATCAGCATTCATGTATTTTTGTTATCTGTGAATTACATCTATGTTTTCAGGTAAATGAGTTGAGAAAAGATTTTGAAAAACTCTATGACATTGTAATTGCGGACCCTGAATCCATGATGCTTGTTTCTGTCCTGCTAATGAAACTTTTGGGTAGGAAATAGATCATCAAAAAGGTAACATTTACTGAATGATTTTTGAAAGTATCCTATATTCAATTTCTTCGTCCGAATGTAGTATATATATTTACAAACAATTCAAATAAATGGTTCTCAACCCTGTCTGACTATGACAGTGAGCACAAATGGAATATTTTATGGAATTGTACAAGCAAATAAAAGGCTGAATTGCATGAACATAGATTTTAAATAATTTACACTAAATGTTATTATCATTAGTCTAATAGGTAGCACTTAGACACTGCATATTATTCTTTTATACAACCTGAATAATTTATATGGTTTGTAGTATTTTTTAGTTTTATTTTTCTGTATGATTGTATCAAATTATATTTTAGTACAGTTATTATTCATATATTTTCTGCATTTGTTATTCTGTGTTTGTTGGAGATTGTTCATCAGAGAGTATTTTTATTCGTCTTCCACCACTTTGATTCACTTCAACTTCAACATGATCAAGATGCCACCTAAAAATGTTATATTTCAAGCAATCAATTGGCAAGCATACTACAAGAAGATGCATTGGATTACTACGGTTAAGAATGATAGAAGAAAATATTAGAGCCTTTGGTGAAATGAAAGTAGATAATACCTTTCATTTTTTTTGGAGGATTTTGAGAAGACATTTCCTGACCTCTTTGAACCTTTAATGGGAACTACAATCTAAAATATATTATAGAAGATCAGGTATCAGTTTTTGCAATTCTAATATAAGTATGCTTTTAAATTATACTCTACTTTTAATATGAAATACAGTTAATTTGCATAGCATCAATACATGTCCATTTTTGTGCAATGAGTTTTGTCAATACCTGTGCTTTGTCCTTGGTGATTTGGATATCTCGCCTTCCAAGATTCATATAGGCAAACCTGAGAGGGCTTCCAAGGATGTCATTGGTTTGTTGATGGTTTTTAACAACATCTATTGTCAGCTGGTAGTAGCCACCAGAAGCAAGGTTGGCTTAAAAAGATATGGGAAAGAGATAATTATACAGAAATGTGCTGCCGTTCAAGATGTGCATGAACACATTTACTCATGGTGACCATTCCTGAATATGAATTAATAGAATTTGATGTGTCAGGATATCTGTGTGTTCTGCCAATCAATGGAGGAAGATAGTGCTTGGTATATAATGTGTTAATCAGTGTTAAATTACACACATCATAAATTTATAGATTTATTATAATCGTTATATAATATTGAGTCATAGTTATAATATTTGTCATTAATATACCTTGTGTGTAGTGATGTAGGACAAATGCTCCACTAATGGAAGCAACTGCACCATATATTGCAATCCTTCCTAATTTCTGAATGCTCATATTCACCCACTTCGCTCTAAATCACAGCATATCGAACACACAATCGATTATATCGATCATAAATATTATTAGAACTCACATATGCATCTGCAAGCTCAAGAAAGGTTAACCAGCGGTTACTCGCCACAATGGCGGGAAATTTTAAAGAGCAGTTGTTCATTTGACATTTCCGAAATTTTTTGAAGAATTACGTTTTGTTTTCTTCTTTCACCCTTATTTAAAGGCATGAAACAAGGCCGTTTTCGCAAATGTCGAGAGCTAAGAAAGAAATAATTGGCAAGGTATGGAATAAGTAGTTTTTTCTAGTGTTTCCCCCTTCATTTTCAGCGTTTCATAAAAGTCCCATTTTATTTTGATTAGGAAATTGTTTTCACGTCAAAATTGATACAGTCAAAGTTTATAACAATTTTCTCATGTTGTTACAGCCGTCAAAGGCCTCGTTAAAGTCAAGAGGATTGTCTACAAGCAACAAGAAAACTTCAAGGTACAGTTACAAATTTAATCCAGGTTTCAATTGCAATTCTCCTTGTCCTTTTGTATTTCAGTGGCAGGTTTGAAAGGATGAGTGATTCTAAACAAAATACACAACAATAAGCATACTTTCCTTTAAATAAATTGCAAAGAACATATACATGCACAGAAACTTATAATTATTTTGACTAATGGTCCTTGGGATGGCATGTTTACATGTGCTTGGTCATCTGAGATACAATAAAGGCTAAAGCATGAGATGACTTAATATTTCAAAGAACTGGGATATATAATTTATATAAATAATTGTTGAAGACTTGTGAAAAGTTTCTAAATGATAATGCGCAGGAATTAAGAAGCTATAGACTAGCTTCCACATTTGACTCTGATATAATGGTTTAACATTGTTTTCATGTGCATATAGGAAACAGTCAATTGACACAGGATATTCACTGTATTCAACTGACTCTGAAAATGTAAGATTTTTGTCAATTATATTATAAATACATGCATTCATTAAGTGGAGAATGGTTGGAAGAGACCTGCAGCCATCCAATTTAGTTGTAGCTAGGAGCCAGAGAGTTGCCAAGAGTAATGTTTGAACAATTCTTTTCAAGGTGTCAGAAGTCAATACTGGGCTTGATAAATGTGCTGAATTATTGACAAATATTTTAGAGATAAAATCAGCAAGGGCAAAAGGTACAGTTACAGTCCATCCAATATATACTGATAGTGTTTTGAGTTAATACAGTGAATGTAGTTCAATTCACAGAATTGTATTCTCTTTATTTAGAGATGAAGAAATCTGTGTCCCATCATGCAGATAGACCACTCCAGCAACGACCAACAATGCCAAGAAGCAGGAAAACAAAACCTGCTCCAACTAGTTTGAAGCTTGCTTCAACTAATCAGAAACCAAATAAATCAATTCACATACCAACAGCAAAAATACCAGGTATGATTTTCTACAAATGAAATTTCAGGGTGTAACTGCCATTGTTTCCTGTGATTTCTCAGCTTTATTGCATAATTATTATAGTAAGGTCATGATGGTGAAATTTATGCAAAAGTTCATCTGTATAGGTTCTGTTCAAAAACCCAGGACTGCATATAATGAAAGAGTTGTGGCATCCACTCCAGTTCTTACTACAGAGCAACGCAAACACCTACAAGATCTTCAAAAAAAAGAACATGATTTGCAACAGCAAATACAACTTTTGCAGGATGAGTATAATAATTTGGAGGTAATTTCATTGTGCACTAGCTATTCCTGGTTTAGACATCTTAACAAAGAATGAAATATTACTGCATTAGTTGATCATTTTTCATTTTAAAACAATTCTCAACTCTTTCTCTTAGGAACACAGCGTTGCTGAAAGAAGTCCTCCATCAGGTAAACACGTTCAGGACGCCATATTCCACAGTATTAACCGTGAACGTCAGGAGCCAAGTTCCTCCAGGAGAAGTTTAGATTTTAGCAACCATGCTGAAAAACCATTTGTTGAAAATCAGGTCCAAGTTGTAAATGAAAGTTCAGCAACAGCTAGCGTTGATGATTCAGTGTCTTGCGAGAAACCTGCTGAACATGAAAAAACAAGAAGAGTTCAGTTTGTTCCTGGAATTACAACACCTCATGAACCAAAGACTGACAGTAAATTTCAAGAATTGAATTCTAAGACTAAGATCGAAAATGAAGTTGAAATGACTAATAAATCTCCTTCGTATCCTGAAGATCAAAATATGACAACTAATGGGAAAGTAAGCAAAGCTTACAATCTTGGTAGTCAAAAGCAAGCGAGACCTCCTTCACCACAAAGGTATTCAGACCACTTGAGAATCCTCGCTTATCTGTTTGGAGAATTACGTGCAATTTTAGCATCATCAGGTATGTAGAGTGTAGTCGATGGTGATTCTGCCTGCATTGATTATTAGAGACTCTTTAAAACCAAAACGTATTTTATTCTGATTTTGACAGATGATAAAGAAGTCGACCGTCTCATTATTGAGATTGAAAGCGAGATTCGTTTGTTGACCTCGTACACAGTACACTCGCTACGCCCATCACCGGGAGAGAAGGCAATCAAGAAACAATATGATATCGATACAGAAATAGCTTTACAGCCATTGAGATCAGAGAACAGCGATTTAAGAAGGTAAAAGGAACGTACCTGAAGCAGAGCTTACTGTATGTCATTCCATTTCACAGTTATCAGCATGAAGTATTGGTATCAGGCTATCAGCCAGAAATGTACCCAATTACATGATGACAATAGAGAATATGGGCAGAACATTTAAGTTTTGTTTGAAAAACCACAATGAGTTACATGGATTTATTGCAACTATCAGAATACCAATGAAATGTAGTTTTTTGTTTAGAAAGTTGCGTATTGCGCATCAAAAATCAAAGGATTTGGAGGAACAGTTGCAAAAAGGTGTAGGAAAGAGGAAGGAAGGTTGGTGCTGAGAAATAATTCCTAGAGAGTTATCACTGATTTGTGACGCCCCCTAGCTACTATAAGTGTAGTATTCAGTTACTTTTTTTATAGTGAATATTTTATTTTTTAGATTTCGCAGATTTTTCAGATGAGAGCGTCATTGAACACTTGCATAAACAGCTGTTTCTAGAGAGAGAGAATGTTAGACAAATGAAACATCGTAATGAGCAAGCTGAAAAGGTACTGCATGGTGTAATCTTAGAGCTTGTTCATTTGTCAAACAAAGTTGTATGTTCTAGAAAATGATGATTTTGTTCTTATAGATCATTGCACAGCAGAAAAATGAAAATTCCCAGCTTCAGGATATAATAGCTGAAAAGGTAATGTTTCTGGACAAAACCTGTATGGATAGGCTTTATACATGTAATATAAATTAAATTTGCTTGTAGTCTAGAACCGTTAACAGTAACACTACATCATCATTGAGCCTGACATTGATAACGGTACAGCAATCTTGCTTATGTCAAGGTTTGCAGTTGTTTATTTTAAAATATTTTATTATCAGGACGAAGAGTTGGATACTATGCATGACGAACTGAGCTCATATAAGACTAAGTACTCCACAGGTTCGAGCGCTGACAGCCATTCCAAACGTCAAATTGAATCAATGGAACTCAAGATTCGTGCAAAAAACAAAGAAGTTGATTTATTGAAGCTTGCGATTGAACAACGCGATGCCGAAATTGAACGCCTAACTGAGTTAACCAGGTACATTGAAGTGGGGTTTTTTACCTATTAGATCAGTTTGTAATGGGAGAGGTGAATCACATGAATTGCTCACAAAATTCTAGGTGAATGCATATATCTCCTTTTTCCTATTTCAGAGGATTACAACAATCATTGACAAGGGTTCTGACAAACGTTCAAGATCTTCATCCAGAAGATGTCACTCCAAATGATGTATCCATGCTCTCTGGGATCGATTCATGGAGACCCACCACAATGACCACATTGGAGCCACCAAAAGCAATGCCAAGGTGCACTATTTCTGCTTGTAGAAGTACCCATAACTGTATGAAAGATTGTAATGTTATATATTGTGTTATTTTAGTACATTTGCTTCTTTGAAAACTGTATTTGCCGTTTTCTTTTTTAGTGTTGTTTCGACTGCGCCAAGAGTTCATCTTCACCACCTTCATGAAGCCATTGCCCTCTCTGAAAAGGAGCTGGATCTCGCGTCACTGCAAACTGGTAACCGTGAGTACGACAATATTTCATCACCTGTTTCACGTATGGAAAGTTCTAAAGAGATCATTGATAGTGTTGTAAATGACAATGATGATGATACAACTATTTCTGTATCATCCACTGATGAATTTGTCTTCAAGCAAGAGCTTGCTAATCTCGATACGATGATTGCAAGACTTCAGGACAGCTTGCGCAAAAAATAAGATTTGGCAAAAGAATTGCCAGATCATTCGTGGGAGAATGAAAAAGGGCAGTTTGAATATTTATGTACATACATACTGTACAATCCGAATCATATTATGCACTATAGTAGAAGGGGAAATAATATCGACTGGGTCAAGATTACCGGTGCCAGACTGCCAGCTAAATTTTGTAAACTGCAGTAGATATCATTTTGTAAACTGCAACAGATATAATCTTCGAAGACAGAGGAGAGTTGCCTAGCACAAGAACTAGACTATCCAGACACAATTTGATTCTATAACTACGTTAATTATCTTCATATATGCATGAAATTATAATTTTGATTTACGATGTAATTGTACTTAGTGTTCCTGGCTTCAACTTGCATGGATTTCAAAATTTATGCAAGTCAGTGGTTAGATTCTTGGAAGACATAAATAGTTTGTCTTCCAGGAACTGTAGCAGATAACCTTTAATTTCCCGGAAACGATAAAGGGTTTCGGGGAACCCTGTTGTGTACAGTTTCGTATTGCGACCACTTCCGCTTTCGGTTCAACGTTCTAAACATACAAACTCGTATTCGTTCGATGTGTGTGAAGTCGAAGGCACGTCAAATTCATCATGAGTAGCGAATCTAACTTACAATTGTTGTTGCATGCTGGAGAATTGGAATATATCATCGACATTATCAAGGCTTCGCGAGATTCGAACAGGCAGGAGCGTTCCTTGTGTGTCGGTGGTTGTTTATATGGCTTATGGCGAAACTCTTTGAAACAGCCAGTCATTCAGTTTGTCACCGGTCCTGATAAAAACCCTAGCAAAAAAGGCGAGGCCAGGATAAAAGAGCTGTTTAAGAATTCCTTTACTGATAGGTGTGCACAAATAATCACGAATGATCATCAGTTATTGCATCTTGGTTTCTGGTTCTATGGCGAGCAAGATGAGGAAAACAAAGGTACTCGATATTACTGTATTGTTTGCTAAGTTATATATACCTTAAAACAACTTTTCTCGCTCGAGGCTCTGTATATAATATCTCAGAGATTGGCTGAACGCCGCCATGTCGCCGCATGAACCTCCAATTCGATCAGACTCACTTCCTGCACAATACAGTATAACTTCTAGCTAGTATACATACAACACATCTTAAGACTATTTCTTGGATAATGTTATATTTCACCGACGCACTTTTGTTGTAACATCCTTTTGAGTTTAAAAATATCGTTTAAATTTGTAAATATTAAGTTCAGACATTAGTTGATTGTATGTTGAATCCCATCTTTGTTGCTTCCCAGCCAAAGAGATCGCCCTTCGCAATTTTAATAAAAGCGTGCTGCTCCTTGTGTCCGAAGATGGGCGCAATTCTGGAAGCTGGTCAGGTCAATACCACCTCAGGTTTAAAAACGCTGCTGAAGCTTCAAGTTTACTTTATAGAGAAGGTAACACTCAACTCAGTTAATCAACTTTTTCTTTCTGAATACTGGACTCCTGTATCAATATGTGATGCAGTGTATTGTATAACTATGTATGTATTCTTATTTGAGCTATCATTGCAAAAGAACCGGTAATTTAAAACTTTACTTGGATATCTTTATACTGCAGGAGTGTTTACTGTTATTGCATAGACTAAATGAATTCTTTGTGGTAATTTCTAGATGTTTTGGACGGGCAGAGTTCGTTTAGGGTGTATGAAAGACTGACAAATAAAATCAAAGATTCCAAATTTATTGCCCATCCTGAACAACAATTGGAAAGAAGCTATCGTGACCCAAACACCAGATGGGCGTTCCTTGATAACTTACCTTCACGTGTGCAGGTTGAAGAAGCGGTAACCAGTGAAGAGCAATGGTATTCCACTGACGAAGGAATGGCGCATTTGCAGCGTTTGTTTCAGTATTTTAAAGAAGAGGGTATCACTCCTGACATGTCAAGAGATACCGCCACTCAAGATATGCAGTTTGGTTTCGATGGCGGTTACAGCTTGGATTTTCCAGCAAAATTCCCTAAGAAAATGCCAGAATTTCATATTCCTGGTAGAGGAAAGCGTAGGCTCGACGACATTAGGCCTAGATCTGGTGAAGATGTTTGCGCTGTTTTGGTGCGCTATGTCGTCGGTTGTATTAGGCAACAGTCATATTAAAATCATGGAACATTCAATTCCTTTTTGTTACAATATATAACCACTAAATATTTTTTGCCCATTTCTATATCTATGCATGGTATCTTGATTAGCCGCTGGAATATATATAATATATATGGACAGTCATAATGTAATAATGTAATCGCTAGGTTAAAGTATATATCCTAGAGAAACCATGATATGTTTATGTGTTTCTTTAACTAGATATTCCATGGTGAAGTAAGTGACTCGTATCGTAAAAAGAATTTCTGTGGACAGTAAACACAACGTTTACTATTATTTTATAATTTTACTTTCTATTATGATAGTTTTACTTTCATTTTATCTCACGACTATAACATACAGATTGTTTACTATATATTTGCAATTTCTTGGAATTCAATGTTGTCTTCTTGTTTAAACATAGCAGTTGGTTCTTACTTGGAAATTTTATTGCGGTTCTTGGAAATCGCTCATTTATCTTATTGCAGTTCTTGGAAATCGCCTTTATCTTTAATAATAACTCGGAATTCCAGTTTCTTTTTTGAAATATGTTTCAATTCCCGGTATAACAATAAGATTAAATTACATGCATTATTTGTAAGTTCATGCTTTTTGGATACAGGGTATTTTCCTTTTCATTATTCATCTTCTCACGATTTTGGTGAATCTTGGTGAAATACTTGGGCGAAGAATAGAGACTCGTAGTTGTGTCACAGTTGTTTTCTGTCATACGACCTTATACCCATGCATTGGCTCCATCCTATTATAAGCGTTTTCTATTATATAACCCATGTAAATGTGAATGCATCCTTAATGCCTTACCAGGATATGCTTTGGTTGTTTTTCGAGTTCTTTTGCAAAACTTCGAGTCCTTTCTACATTGTGTCTTGCAGCAGCGACAGGCTCTGTGTTGAAGTATTTTTCTGAAGAATGCAAAGAATGACGAAACGATAATTTTCATTCCAGTCATAAAGCGAAACTTGATTCTGTGCATAACTTACCTACGATACTCGGAATTGGATATTGTTTTGCACAGAGGGTGGCTTATTGTTTATTAAGTTGGTTTCACTTTTAAATCAACAGCATAATACTCTCTCGTACGATCCTTCAGAAAGTTTTAATACCTTGGTCAAAATCCTTGCTCATGCACATGCAGACATATGGCCTCATCAGGCTTTGCACCACAGTTGCTAATAAATGAAAGTGAGCTCAACGAAATCCTGCGAATAATCAAATCCGCTAAAAGCACTAAAGTGAAAATTGTCGGGAAGCTATTTGGTCTGTGGAGGAACTCTTTAATACAACCGGTCGTGCAGTTGGTCACTGGGCCTGGTAAAAGTGCGATGACATCAAAAGAAATGTTTAGACCTGATAGTGGTTACCATGAACAAATAAAGCATTATATGCAATATGAGCATGGTTTGTTGCATATTGGTCTATGGTTGTCCGGAAGTACAGATCGATACCCAAAACGTATGTAGAATGAATTAATGATAGCCAGTAATTTGTTAAGCTTATATACAGCCTGGGTTGATCCTCGAGACCTCGAACACAAACCATGCATAACCCATATCGTAAATACAGTACTCCCGGTTTGATCTATGAATTCATGGTTATATAAACCAGAATATCTGAAAACGTTTCCTATATTTGCAGTAAATCATGCTAGTCGTGAATTTAGTCTCGCAAGCCCGTTATTACCACAGGATGGGAGATACGTTGTCTTGATGTTTGTTGACTACTCGGGAAAGAGTCTGGAAATTGAGTATCATATTATTGACCGACATCAGTTGCATCTGTCCCATGTTGTTGATCTTAAAGCAAAGGGTAAAGTGCAAGTCAGATTGTATATACTTTTGTTTGATGTCAAATTTTCCGGCCCTGTCACTAGTTACACTTTTGATTCGTACTGTTTCCATGCTGACTATACCATTCATTGGTATATAACGTTTGCTTCATCGCTTTCCAGTTTCCATAAGATATATTCTGACATAGCTCTCCTCAGTAAGAGTATGTTTTCAGTTTTTTTTTATTCCAGTTTATTCCTTCACAGATATTCTTCCTGGCGCAAGCAGTTTTAGGGAACTGGAACAAGTTTTAGATTGTGTGAACCACGGTTCAAAATTTCAAACAGGAAAAAACCGACAAACGCGTCATTTTACGATAAATATGCTGCAGACAAAACACCCTCAGCTCGATCACCATCGACCACGAACGAATACCGCACCAGCCACTTTAATGACCACGAGCAAACCCACCGAGCAGTGGTACGAATGTGATGGCGGTGAAACTCTTTTGAGACATTTGATGGACGGTTTCGGATCTCACGACGTGCATGTTAACATGTCCAGGGATTCCAAAACGCGCGATTTAACCCTAGAAGTAAACGGCAGCGTCTGCCTGTCCTTTCCTTATAATTTTCCAACAGGACAAATGTCCGTAACATGGTTGAATGACACTACAGCGTTTACCAGAAATCCTGATCAAATTTGTCAAACAATTGTACAGAGGGTTTCAAATGTTATCTCTTACGAAACGGCGCTTAGTTTTTCAAGGACTACTGAAGTATGAAACCCTATCCTGATGGCAAGGCATTTATTCTCCAGACGTTTTGAAGGCACTGTATAATCGTCATATAGGAAACATTGATCTTCGAACTTGACCTAAGTAATTATCAAATAATACTGAATGGCCATCAACGATGACATTTCTGTACTGCTTGCATCTTTTATATTGTAGTTTCTGTTTGCTCAATATATACTGTATTAGTCAAATTGTTGTATACACTCCGTTGATGTTCTCATTAAGAAGTGCTGACGTGTGTGTGTGCTCTTGTCAATGAAGATAATTTTATGAAAGCGTGATATTGGTGCTGCATGAGATCCTCGAATCTGCTAAGTAGAAACCAATTGTTATAAACGAATATGAGCGAATATCTTACAATGTTAATCTGAAGCCACTTGAACCAATGTTTTGAAATATACTTCGTCGTGTAGACCATTCAGGAAGTTGTCGTTTTCAACCCATTTTTGGTGTATGCTGTATAACAGTTTCTTTGTAGTATTCATAAATCATTCCCAAACCCAGGAAGCTTCTAGATTTATTGCTTCTATTTATTTTACTGTTCTCTTTCAATCAATATTCCTTCATCCGCAGAAAGAAATCCTCAAGCAATCTCATATTCTCATACACTGAAGAAATATGACTTAAATAAATTGCAACTGCATTATTTGATACAAACGACCAAGAATTCAAATATGGCTTCATCTCGTTTTAAACAATTTATAACTGTTCGAAATATTGTGGATTAATCTGTGGCATACTTTTATCGACCCCACTTAACATATTTCTTTATCCGCAACGACGGGTGGCATTGGTTATGCTAAGTTTGTTCACAGAAAATTTGAATACGCACGTATAACAACATTACAGCGTATCCTCTTATATGATCCTCTTAAATACTTGCTAAATCCGACAAAACAATGGCTTCATCGACCACAACACCCAAGATTCAGATAAACGAAAGTGAACTCAATGAGATGCTACGAATTATCAACGCTGGGAAGAACTCTGAGGTAAAGATCGTGGGAAAGTTGTTTGGAGAATGGACGGAGTCATCCACTCAACCTGTGATACACTTGATCACAGGACCAGGGCAAAGAGCGAAAATATCAAAGAAAAGCTTCAGTCCTGATGGGTATTACCACGTTAACGTTAAGAAGTACCTGGAGAGCGAACATGGCTTGTCACAGGTTGGTTTATGGTGTTCTGGAAGTGCAAACAGATACCCGACACGTAAGTGTAAACAAAGGACTCAATATTACACTACACGTAAATCATAAACACACGTCGCGGGCAGATGGTGTCAGCTTTCAAATATTTTGCTACTGTAAATGTGGAAAAATTTTCTCCCAATTAGACAAAGTCGTTTTCAATTATCCTTGCTTTATACGGAAGGATATATCATATATATATATATAACTTATACGTTTTTGATGAGCTTACCGTTTTCGTCTTGAATATTCGTAGTGCTGATAATCCTCAAGTACGTGGGCGAAATTTATTTCAGTAATTCTTGTTTTAGTATGTTTTCGGTAAACGTTACCAGATCAAGGTACGCCGTATCGCGGTGCCTAGTTCGTTTCTTTCCTAACTTGTTTTGGCCTTGAGGGCTTGCGGTGGAATAAGATTGCGATGATAATAGCCGTTTTAGCTTAGCTTAAAAAACTTTCCGTTATGTTGATTAAAGGTTGTCATGACTCGTGTAGTCAAAGAAAACACGCTAAATACCAAATTCAAACTATACAATTGGTGTTTTGAGGAATTGCTGTCACCAGAAAGCTCAAGCGGGAAGAGAATATTATTGATTTGTTTTGACTACAATGGCAGATGAAGTTGTAATTCTAAAACAGCCCAAGCTATACTATATACTTCTTCGATTGCAGTCAATCGCGATAGTGGAGAATATCACAATGCTTTGATGCCTCAAAAAGGAGACAAAATTGTGCTGATGTTTGTACCTTGTACACGAGGAAAGCTGGAAATCCAATATCGAATAATTGACAGAGAGAACCCAGAATTATCCCAGGTTGCTATCCTAACAGCTGAAGGTATGCTCATAGTGCTTACGTTTTTATCTCAGCCAAGAGTTTTATCTTTGGTATCAAAGCTAGAGGTATACCCTCATAGTGCTTGTGTTGTTATCTCAGGCTGCCAAAGGGCTTATGTATCTTTGGTCTCAATCAATGCATCTTAATTGATGATGGTAATAACATGGTATTAACTGTAGTTTTACCCAAATTTCTACAGATGTTCTCCCGGGCACTAGTAAATTTAGAGAGATGCGGACAGTTTTCTACCGAGTCAATGACGGATCAAAGTATCCATCACTCTCACGCAACGAAACGAAGCATTACTTTTCCATGAATATGCTACCGGAGAGTCAACATCGACCATCAGAACTTATTACCACACCAACTCGTGTCGCACCAGCCCGTGCCACATCAACCGATACAAGTGTCACGCCAACCAGTGGAGAGCAAACGCATGACCCAGTGTTTGATGATGATGAATTTCGCTCGAGAAATACCTCCAATGGTTTCAAGTCTCCCAAAGTACCCGTTGAGCGGTTCAGGCGAAGTTCTGCGCGAAGTTTTGACAAGACTACATTGTTGTGAAATTCTTGCCAGAGCCTTCAAATAAGTATTGACATCTATTCTCAACGATTTTAAACGCTATTCCCGAGCTTTTAAATCGATTAACATTCATCTCTGGCGAGTTAGGGGAAATTTCAAAATTGAATGGTAAACAATCTTGAGAGTAATGTCCGAGACATACAAGGATATTGTAGTTCCTCTGTAAATCTTTGTTATGATGATATTATTGTGTATATAGCTGCTGGTTTAAAGATAGTTTCAGATATTGCTGAACTTTTCAGAAATTCCTTTTTGTTAAGCTGTTCGGATGTGTTAGCTTTGTCAGCGTTTTCAGGTCTAAAATATTTTAATAGTCCTGCAAACTCATGCTGTGAAATATTGAACCATTTGATTTGTGGAGTCATATTATGGTCAAACAGGTTTCAAACCGGTTTCGAATAATTTATTTGAATACGGGGAAAACCCATCTTCTGGGAAAAGACCTAAACGTTTAGCAATGATCTATTTAGACGCTGTTACCACGTGATTTTGATTCGTCCCTGCGATAGGCTGATTATTGCACGTGTCCTCCTAATACGTCTCAGTGATTGGCTGTTTATATAAAAGCAAAGAGAGCGAATTCAAGGGAATTATTTTTGTGTGGTGAACGAATAGTGCAGAGCTGCACTAAGGAAATTGAAAATAAAGACTAAGCTTAGAGAGAGAAAAGTACGTTTATTGAAATGTCGAATAGCAAAGATATACAAGGCCATCTTTCCCAAGTTGCTCGAGGACAAGAGCCAACAGAGAAACTAGAATTTGATCCTCAGACTGGAAAATTGCGAGTAACCAGAAGCCCGAATCCTGATAACGTCGTTGCGACGAAGATGGCAGCATCTGGATTCTTTGGACTGACCTACCTCACGACATCTTACCATGTCACGATGGAAGAGACTTTGTGATACCAGTTCTGGATATAAAGCATTTATAAAGGATTTTAATGAACAAAATTTACAAACGAAGCTTGAAACGACTTCCTGCAATTGTGTTATGTTTTTCTTGGTATTTGTACTTTCAGTATTTCATCGTGTGGAACCTTCTTCTTTTAATGTTGGGATTTTCGTTGTAACTTTGTCAGATATAGCTAGATCGTCTTTCATTCTATCGAAAATGAATTGTCTCTATTTTAAAAGAATCGTCTATGAATATTGCAAACTTGGTTTCTGTTTCATTTATAAAATTTAGTCGTCGTCACATTGGCACTGGTCATAACACTTAATATGTCTCCTCTCCATATTAAACTGCTTCGTTGAACTAACATGTTAAGCTAACGTACTATGTAAATTTGAACCTCTAGACCTTTCTACCAAAGTTGAAAAATTGAAAAATCGCTGTAGCTATACATAATATTCTACTGATAATGATTAATATTACCATGATCGAATAAATATAAAAATAGAGAAGCAGTGTAATGTAATGTAATGGTTGTGCATTTTGTGTGTTTTATCGTATTGGCTTCTTGTCTACCTCGTGGGATTTTGTACATAAGCTATATTGCAAAGCATTTTTTATTATTGATTATTTGGTTTTCCCTGAATATATATTCCAAGAACTCCAATGGTCTTTCCATTTCCGGCTAATTTGTATAACTTTTGCATGCTTTCCGGGACGAAACGGCAGTAGACGCAGTATTCAAAGAGAAAGCGTCTATCTTCTTGCTTCTTTCCTTTGCTATCCCTCCAGTTCTGCTTGGTTAGCCAACTTAGAAATACTCTTAACATGCAGGCCCTTGCCGCGCGTTGTGCAACCTTCAATTCCTATTTCACACAGTGCAAATTATTGCATCAAAACAAACTAGGTTTTTACACAAATGACATTTGACTGTCCCAAAATCATTGATATGTTCTGTATTTGTCATGATTTGCTGTAGTTCCTCGTATTGAAAGATTGTTTATGAAACTTTAAAAACACGCAAAAACATTCGTTAACTATATCATATTTATCAGTATATTCCAAGAAAATATATCGAAATTGAAAGAAAACCGTACAAAATAGAAGATAGCATGCTCAGGTAGCATTACAGTTCCACTGAATTGATAAAAAGTGCAATATATACGTGAATATGTCTTTTAAAAACACTTAAAACTATACGTTTGCGCCATAATATGTATGTTCAACTTCGTCCACGGTTTTCCACACACCCTCAATGGACTTAAACATCGCATTTACTGACTGGCCTTCGTTATCTTTTAGCTTCTTCTCTATCTTAACCAAAAAGTACTTTGAAGCTTTTCAATTGAAAAGATACTAGCTAATAAAGATGCATATTCCTACATAAAGAAATATATTCTTGTATCTATACTGACTATAGAAGTTTTTCCATTGCATAATTGCATTCCTGCTGTGTTCCTGATACAGATTTTTCTTGGAAGAGTAAAATCGAAAATGACATCGTCAAAAATTAAACTTTCGAGACAAATTTACTTTGTGAATACTTTTCCCAAAGTTCAATTGCATTCTTAACTGCTTACATGAGTAAGATATATATAATCAACACACTATAGTTTTCTAAAATTAATATTTTTATTGATACATTAGGGTAGCTTGGTTAGTTTATAGTCATTAAATTCCTGTCTACATCAAACGATAAATTAAAATGTCGAACAGAAATGAGTTTGAAAATCATTATGGAAGTTTCAATCTAGATTTATATATAAGATAGTTTTAGTTTTACTTTCATCATGTATAAGAAATATTAAGTGTTGTTTAACTATATCAGTTAGTGCAGTCGCCTAACTACCAAAGAAGGCTGCCTCTTCTTCGGAAATCTGTGGCAATGGTCTGCACGCTGTGCAATCCGATTTCCTTTCGAAATCCACAGCATACCAGCGAAGGACCGATGGTTGGTTAAACATGGAAAAGCCACCTTCAGGATAGCTTTCAAATTCTTGCTCACGCCTGTTCGCCCAGCGATAGTAAGGTGCTACTAGATCTTTCTCCAATGTAGCAAGAGCACTGTCTTCACCACGACACAACTCGACCAGAGCTAGCTTCACCAGCATGTTTCCAATCGGAATAATATCTGAAGACAGACCAACTTGGATTGTGGCATCCACATCATCATCGCTGACATACGTTGGGTTAGCTTCCCTCGCCTGCCTGAACGACGACACCTGAAGGGAAGGATTTATGAAATTTTCTATAGTTAAGGAATCGCACATTTGTCTGACGCATATTTTGTCTTCTTTAATGCAAACAGGCTGGCAAAGGGGCAAGTGCATGAAGAGAATTTTTCTCCGACGACAAAAAAACTGTAAGGCCAGGAAGAAAAAGATCAATTCAAAGAGAATCTGATACATACCTCTTCTTGGCTTGCTTCCAAACTTTGGTTGGTGAACACGCAACTGAAACAGGGTCCATCGTTTGGACGTACTCGCAAGACTTCGCCACCAGCCGCCCGTACCGAACACTTTCCGAACAGCGTCGGAATATTGTGTTCAATGGCAATACTGTTAATATTTAGCCGGCTTCGGACATTGTCGGTCGCAGCGACGATGAGATCGCAATCCTTAAGGATCTTCCTTGCCTCGTGCACTCTGTTGATATTGGAACAATGAGTTTCGATTGTGATAAAGGGATTCTTGTTGTGCAGAATATCTCGAACTGCATTGGTTTTGAGACGACCAAGATCTTCAAGCCCGCACACATGCCGGGCGATGTTGTTCAACTCGATTCGGTCAAAGTCGATCAGGATAAAATGTCCGACTCCTGCTTTTGCTAACTCGACTGCGATAAACGAGCCACCGCTTCCCAGGCCGACTATGGCAACCTTGCGTTTCTCAAGCAAACCAGATTCCAGGATTCCTTTACTCCGAGAGTAAAGTAGCTCTTTTGAGGGTTGCAACAACACATCGCATTCCATCGGTTCTGGGAATCTCTTGCTTCGTAGAAACACCTTGGTTAATGTAAAATAGAAAGTATTATTTTAATGATTTTTTAACTGAATTTCCACGCGGGGATAAGGAGTGCGTGAAATTTAATTGTATATATGTTGCAAATCTGGCGTGTACCATGTATCGAAATATTTGGTGGGCGTGTATTGTCTTGCAAGCGTGGTCGGGAAAAGATTCAAAATATTAATTTCTCAAATCCTTAATTGCCATCAAATACCGGTACAAGTTGGTTGTCGGCCGTGACAATACCGGAAACAAATATGGTGGGAGCTCTGGCACTCAATACAATCACATTCACTACCAATGGCATGCAAACATATACAAAGCCTTCACACAGCCTTCATACCTTTATACCGTCTTCTTTCTCTTTCTTTTTGTTCAATTTTTCTCCAATGATCAAAAGCAGTTCAGGCTTTCCTGTCTCCTTTTTGTCAAATATTTCAGGCAACCCGGCTTTGATTTTCTCCCCATCATCCAGGCTTTCTTCAGAACCGAGAACCTTCAGATAGACTTTGCTTGATTTACAGGCGTCTTTTTCACAGCAATCGTCTCCGTTCTGTGTGCATTCTGGTTTCGCTTTGTCTGCACAACCTCTTACTCGAACGTGAAACACAGATGCATCGTCTAGCACAGTCACATCGAACAGAGGCTTCTCCTGCCCTTTGACTTGCTGGATGAAGTCAGGTTGTAAGAAACAAACTACGGGCTTTTCCTCTTGTTTTGCGCCTTCCATTCTTTGCCAAGTGCTTGCTGTGGAGCTTCACGAACGCTGACTATCAAAATATTATCTGATATGCGTTTTGGTTTCAAAACCGAAACTTGTGGCTGATTCCCGGAACGGGGTTTCCCATGAAAGAGACACACCGCAGGTGTAAACACATTCTTTCACTTCCATATCCGCTTTCATTTTTACAAATCTGTTCACATGCCGCACAACAGGGGGCATTAAATGTTACCTTATCTCAGTTTCAAGAGAAAAGATATTGTATATCTGGTTTGCAGTTTTAACTTAGTTGTTCCAAAGAGTTGCAACTCTAGCGTTTTCCAAAGGAGATCTCTCTTCTGTCCATAATTCATATAAGACTATAATACTAGTTTTGCTTTCACTTCCGCCTTCATTGTTTACATTCCAATTGTGGTTCTGGTTTTAAAATACTAAGAACCAATAATCGCTTTTCTAGGAAATATAGCTCGTATTCTTGGATTTAGCTTTGCACAGAGTACTTTCTGTGTACAAAGGCGTGCAAACAAGCAAGCGAGACTTGCTCGTAAAAGTTGGTGGTTTTTGTACATTAAAATAGCCAAAGTATATTTATTCAATCATGTCAAATAGGAGACAGCAGCAGCCACCGCCAAAGAGCACAGATTTTGTTGCTCATGTTTACCAGGAAGATTATCGTGAGATACAAAAGCTTGTAAAACAGTATCCAGAAATCGAAACCGGAGGCGACCTGTTTGGCTTGTGGCAAGATGAGAGTACGGTCGTCATTCAACTATTTATTGGCCCGGGAAAGAATTGTAATCGTACCACAACATCATTCCATCAAGACATCGATTATCTGAAGAAAGTTGGCTCCGTGATTACGACTGAGGATGGTTTATGCAATGTCGGTGAATGGCATTCGCATCACCAGATCGGAATGCCTGGTCCTAGCAGAAATGATTGCAGAACGGTGTTCAGCAACATGCCTCAACTTGGGCTCGAGCGATTCGTGCTTTTCATTGCAAGTATTGAAAGCAAGGTCGCAGGAAGAAAATCGCACAAGAGGTCGCTTGAAGTGGAGCTTGACGAGATCAAGTTGAGGCCATTTCTGTTTTTGGGCTCCAAAGAAAGTGTTGTTGAAGGTAAGCTGAAGATTGCAACTTGGAGGATTGTGAATTTTCTATTTCGCCTAGTGGAGAACTGCCTCAAAGCAGTAGTCGCAGTACTTAAATACTTAGATGGTTCTGCAATTTTGAAGTATCGCATATTCATTACTAGCAAGTTACTACAACATGATAGCAACCATGTCAACCACAGTAGGGTGCAGCACAACACTGCTCTGTCTGTTTTATTAATTCGTTACTATAGTAAGTGCTCAGTGACTGTTCATACGTAAAATATTCGGAATGGTAATTACTAATATTGAAACGTCATTAATACGTCATCATGCACAATATATCCGCCACATTTCTTGTCCTTTAACAAAAAACCCTTCAAAAATTAAATCAGATCATAATTCTGCTGAAAATAAGTATATGAGCCAGGTTAATTTAAGTTCCCAAGTATGAAATGGACAACTTTTGAAGTAAAGAAAAGTACGCCGCCGTACATTACTGGATTCTTGTAACAACGAATGTTCTTTTTTTTATTGTTCAAAGGTAAGATTGAAATAATTCATGGTAAGAACCCACATATCGAAAGTAGTCGCGCTCGGAGTGAAATCGAAAAGGGAGCAGCTCTACCACCAGTTGATTATCTGCGGAGAAAGAAAGCAGACAAGAAAGAACAGGAAAAAGAAGAACAGCAAGCTCCCCAATTTTCAAGGGAAACAAAACCCAACAAAAACAAGGAAAAGGCTGGTGGTGGGAAGGAAAGTTCAGCAACATCTTACGACAACTTTCATGGAAGAGTTAGCAATGATGAAAATCGATCACCAAATCGTAGCCAAGCAGCATCTCAGGAAGGCAGTAATTATGGCAAAACCGGTTCTCGACAAGGTGTCCAAGGGGATCGAGATCGTACTCAAAGAAACACGCAACATGAGACGCGTACAGAACTACATACTAGCCAAGGACAAGTTTCCACACCTATTGACGCCTTGACCGGCAAAGGATTTTTTTAGACCATTGTTGTAGTTAATTCAAAAAAGTTATAATGACTTATAATCATGATTAGTAGATCAATTTTGACTTTTTTTTTAATATAAACCAAGTACTAAAAAGATTTATTATCTCCTTATAGTTAATCTTAAGCATATATAACTAAGTATTTGGATGTTGAAACACTTGTTTTAAATGATATTATGTACGACACTGATGCATAACGTAAATCGATTAATTTTCTAAGCAAAATTAACAATCATGCATTGATTAAACTTTTATTCCTTTTAAATTTTCTTCAATCGTTTCGTAACCCCTGCCTAATTCCGCTACACAAATGTGCCACTGTAAAGGCGGATTTTCATTCAGTGCAAAATGTCGCGCGATCGATTTTTTGCGAAAAGAATGCAGACAAGACAATGTCCGTGGGTCGTCAAATGTCTCCAAGCAAATTAAACACTCAAGTAATCTTTTAAGATACTCCTTTTCGTCTTGTGAAGGCAGACTGCTAGCCGAGGCCATCTTAGACAAAGCTGGTAAGGTTCTTTGGAGAAGGACAACTCAAAATGGGTAAAAAATGCTTCAATTGCAACGTGAAGTGGTTTATTTGTTGTGTGTATAGGCGGAAGTAGCTCAAAAGGAATTATGGGAATTGGGTTTGGTTTGGCTTTGCTGGGCATTTTTTATAAATAACTGCATAAATAACTCACGATCTCGCAGTAAATCATATATTTAATTAACAACTATACCACGAGCTCGAGTCGTATATGAGCTGATAGGCAACGAGGCAAAGCAAAGTTGGCTAGCAGCCACATATGACGAGAGCCAATTTCATAACTGTTTTACAATATAGTCAAAACTTTATAATAATAAGACATGCACACTTTCATTAAATTTGCATCACAAATTCTCACTGTATTCCCGGCTGTTTTCACTACGCATTCTGTATGAGATGATGATATACAATGAGCATAGCTTAGACAATCAGCTATATTATAACCATATCATTACGGTACCATTGTTGTTTATTGAAATTATAAAACTTTTGACGAACATGAACAAGTACCATGAACAGTTTTTATGTGCCTTCATTGAGTATACTTCTACTTACAGCGAATTTTTTTAAATCCTCATCTAATATAGTATACGGAAAATACTTGCCAACTAATGATACATTCATTGAAAGATTTACATCAGTATAATTATATAATTTTATATTAACCTTTTCTGCGCCTTTTGAAAGGTTTATTTTAAAGGAATGTCGATCCAAATTGGGTCCCTGCTGACTTATTTTTGCAGTCAGTAAGCATTCCTCGATGTACGACAACCATGTTTTCTCGTTTCTTTCTCAATCTTTCTATTAAAAAATCCTGCAGCAGCCATGTCTGTACAAACCACGTTATCCCCAGTGTTCTGGTTTTCGTTCACGACTTTTAACTTTCCCGTTGTGGGGTCAAACGTTAACTTCTGCCTTCCTGTGTTACCTCCTGCAGCAATAGTCGCCAAATGACCTTGAATATCTCGGCTACCAGACATTTTAGAACTCTTGATTTAGCAGTTTTCTTCCCAGGATATAAATGATATTTCACTAAATTTTGGAATCTAAAGTTGTGAGAAAGATGACATTTTTTGTATGATGTTGTTTCCCAGCAGATGTGGCTTCCTTTTGGTTTAAAATAACTGTAATTTTCTTGAAAAGGGTCAATGTTGATTGTATAAAGAGAATAACCCAATCTTAATAACAATTTATGTTGAGAATTGGATCTGTGAGTCATTGGCGTGCGATCTGGAATGTTGGGAAATGCAAGAATCCTGGCAGGTTTATATAAACAAGACGTAATATTATTACCTAAATTCCTTCGACACTTCCCGATATTAAAATACTGTTTCGTGAAATGAAACTTGTGAATGCAATGCTTTCAGCCTCGTTGTTGGTACTTAAACAGGAGAGTTCCTTTCAAAATCACTGTTTCCAATTTCAAAGAAAGCTTTTTCTTGGAAGCGGGGCAAAATTCGTTATATAAAACAGAATATAATGTTGCGCAGTTTCTCTTTCGTAAATTCTGGGCCTGCGCTATTCCATTCTCATCAAATATGCTCGCCATAGGTAACTATCTGAACATGCGCAACACGCAAAGTTTCATTATTAAATATTTTGATTACTGATATAATTGCATTTTGATGTGTATAATACAATTGCATAGCAACCGATATATATATCTTTTATAATAAACTTGAGAACAAGCAGTGAGCATTCATATATAGTTGCTAAGTTTAGTCATAGGAGTATACAATGAATTTGTCTACGTTCTATCGAGTTGTGACAAATGTAATCTTATTAAATGCAACACTTCCGGAATATTTGCAACTGCTCTTCCAAGAAACGCAAACGACAATTCCTGGTAATTCATGCTCATCTTATAGTCATATTGTCATCTCATTGGTTAAAGTTCTGATAGTGCATGCGCTTATTTTATTTTCTCAATCATTCAACATAGAGGCTGTATCTAGGTTTAAAATATCGATTTTGTTTTTAATACATTTTGTCTATCACACTACAAATTTCGACCAAAATAGATCTATCTGGAATATCTGGAACTGGAATATTACACAACGCAGCGACAATATCACTACAGATCTAGGGTCATAATCAACAACATTGTGAACATCGTATTATATCATGGCTTGGACCCCAGACCAACGACAAAGACTTGCGGTGGAAAAAGAAATACTGGAGAGATATTTCTCTGGCAACGTCACATGGGTTGATCCGACAGGGAACACTAAAATTGATGTCACAATGATCACAAATAGTAATCAAGTATACTGTCTACGTCTGTACGTTCCAAGAGATTTCCCAAACAGCTTGCCTATCTTGGCGGTGAAAAGCTCACCACAACCGATGCCAAAATGGGGAGAAAGTGGTGCAACCCACACTCTAGGGCACACTCGTGACGGATTTCTTGTAATTTGTCATTACCGTTCAGAACATTGGAATGGTGAACACACCTTTTATGAAGTTTTTATGAAGGGGCGTTTATGGTTGGAAGCCTACGAAGGTTACGTCGCCACTGGCAATCGAATCGACTCTTTCCTAGGTCATATGTTGAAGAAGAAATAAAAGAAACTTGAAAGTAGTATGCAGAAAACACAGTTTAGAAAAGAAATGATTAGTCCTATACTTAAAATAATCAGTGGACTTGCTTCAAACTTGCACTTTTCCCACTATATACTACAATTATTTTCCCATTCCTGTGGTACATAGAGCAGAAGACTAGTAAATATGATAAATATGATTATCGAATATGTGACAGTTATATTATTTAACTTGTATTAGAAGAATTACTGGTTATATTAGTTTATACTGTGGATAAATTTCTTGAAACTCAATCATTACTTACCTGTGTACTATGCTATTACTAGGCATCAAATGTGGTACAACAACTGCCTATAAAATAGACAAAAAAAATTCTCGATGTTTCGACCTGAGAGCCTTCGTCAGGAGAGTTATAATATAATTTTATATTGTATTATATTGAAAACAGGACAAACTCCTGCACTCAGTAGGCAAACGACACAAACAAACTTTGGTACTGCAAATGTGCACTGGCTGCTGGGTTTATACGTTCGTTGATATTTGTTCCTTTGATTGAAAGACCAAATCTAGACTTTGACGCCTTTCTCGCCTCTCGTTTGTAATTCATACAGCATTCGTTTATAATTCATCACTTTGGATGCACCAAAAAGGAGTAGAAAAATGCTTTCAAGTTCTGAATGAATTTCATCAAAGAGTTTGCTTACACAATACGTAACTCGATATAGGTCATTAATAAATCATAAGCTAGAACGTCGTCTCAGGCGGAAGCGAAACCAAAACATTTTTGTCAGCTCATGCAGCTCGAGTAGTTCAATGTTATATGTACTGTGTTGATATCAAAGATTTCGCTAATGCCTTGGACTCCAGCTCAGCAGTGCAGACTAGCGGTTGAAAGGGAGGTCCTAGAACGATATTTTCGTGGGAAAGTTCAATGGATCGATCCTACGATTTTGGGCAAAACCAGAATCGAAGTTGAGATGACCAGCAACAGTAATCAGGTTTATCGTCTTCGTGCGTATGTACCGGAGGACTATCCAAACTCTGTGCCCGATCTGGTCGTTGCCAGTTCACCAAGACAGTTGCCAAATTGGGGTGTGAGCGGCAGCAAGCATACGTTAGGAACTCGTGATGGCTGCTTGAAGATTTGTCATTATTATGCGCCGAGGTGGGATCCTCAGCATACTTTCTACGAGGTCTTTGTGAAGGGTCGCGTTTGGTTAGAAGCGTACGAAGGACATATTAGCACGGGGGAAAACCTTGACTTTTATCTGGGCCATATGAATTAACTCTCTACCAATGTAAATCACATCACCGTGCTTCCTATGATGTTAATTGTCGAAGAGACTTTTCAAAACAATAATTGTTCTTTTGTATATTAATTAATCTCAAATTGAACGACCTTTAAATTGTGTATTAATCAAATCTGTTTAGTTTCACTGTTTTTAGATTAAATGTCATCTTAAATTCGTAATTGTGTGACATTCCTGCGTTACTATATTTTTACTAGATTCCCGTCGATTTAGAAATATTTAATTTCTACGCCTTTTCCTCAGTAGAAAGCGAGATTCGAACTTTCCCTTTCTCTATCGATTTATATTCCGTCTTCTTGGAATCTCCTTCATTTATGAATTCCAAGAATAAAATGCGCGCAGAAACGGAAGTAAACAAGACAAAAGTGTTACCCATGCACAGCCTTACTTTGAGATGAATAAAATACGAAAACAATTTCTTTAGCGACTTCCACTTGAATTAATAATATATTCCATGTGTGTTTCTCTGGAAGTTTTTCTACTTACGTCATATGAAAACAGCTGATGCGACAGGGGCTTTCCCTTGAATCATATTAAAAGAGTAACAAAAACAAACCACTGTCACCGTGAATTGTCGTTTTCAAATATATATTCAAAAATTGATGAGTAATATGGCTTTCAAAGCTAAACTAAAACATGAGAAGAACTGGCTCGAGAAATATTACTACGGAGAGAAATTTCGATGGCGTTGGGAGTCAGGAAAGGCTTTATTCGAAC